GGCATGTTTGATACACAGGATATACAGAATTTATATGAAAAAATTCCTCAGTGATAGAAAGTCATAGCATAATGTTCTTTTGCAGCATTTTGATTCATTGCACCTCATTAATTCAGGCTTCCCCGTGATCTCATCTCTAAAATTTGCACTGGGTTAGCTAATTACAAGAGTGGGAAGTACTTCATAAGAAGCCTAGGAAAGCCCATTATTTTTCATGTGGTTTACCTGGATTTCTACCGTCCTGGGGACATATTTCATTAGAAAATGTACACTGAGCAAAAGAGATCGTTAACCAGTTTTCCCAGATCAGGCCAGAAGAGGGCCAGATATCACCAGCAAATGCAGCTGTGTTTACTATTTTTTCAAAGTAAAATGTATCCATACATGATTATCAAACTGCATTTCCATAAGCAATTTATTTTGAACAGGAGAAGCAAGTGTACATCATTCCTTTCTCTGGTGTAAAAAGGCTAAGTGCAATTTTAGACCTAGTTACAGCACTGTAACAAAGAGCATTATTAATTTTTTTATAGTGGGCTGTGCCATCTTCTGCAGCCAGAAGGTGCAAGATTTAAAAATGAATTCATCGTCCTTAAGAAGCACGTTTTTTGCCACATAGAAATTCTAAGCTCTGGCACAGATACAGGATGGCAAACTTAAGGCATCCAGCACAGGGATTTGAAGAGACATAAACAAATTCTCTGTCAAGGCACAGAGAGACTGGTGCTGAAGTGCAGTTTTGCCAGGGTACCCTAAACGCAGAGACTCCTACTAACTAGATTGGAAGTTAGCAAATGCGACACATATCTACAAGAAGGGCTGGAAGAAGGATCCAGGGATCGACATGCCTGTCAGCCTGACCCTGGTGCCAGGGAAGGTCATGGACCACATCATCTGAGTGATGATGGCACATACATACATATCCAGAGGGTCAGGCCCAGTTAGCATGGGTTTATGAAAGGCAGATCCTTCCTGACCAACTTGGCCTTTTATGACAAGGGGACCTGCCCAGTGGAGGAGGGAAATATTGTGGATGTATTCTACCCAAACTTTAGTAAAACTTTTGACATTATTTTCCACAGCATTCTCTTGGAGAAATTGGCTGCTCCTGGCTTGGGTGAAAAACTGGCTGAACAGCTGAGCCCAGAGAGTAGTGGTGAAAGGAGTTACACCCAGCTGGCAGCCAGTCGTGAGTGGGGTTTCCCCGGGCTCGGTACTGGGACCAGTCCAATTTAACATCTTCATTGATGACTTGCATGAGGGGACTCAGAGTCAGTTCACAGACGACACCAGGCTGAGCAGGAGCGTTGATCTGCTGGAGTGCAGGAAGGCTCTACAGAGGGATTTGGACAGGCTGGATTTGATAGGTCAAGGCCAATTGTATGAGGTTCAATAAAGTGAAGTGCTGGGTCCTGCACTTAGGTCACAACAACCCCATGTAATCCTCCAGTCTTAGGACAGAGTGGCTGAAAAGCTACCTGATGGAAAAGGACGTGGAGGTGCTGATCAACAGTGGCTGAACATGAGCCAGCAGTGTGTCCAGGTGGCCAAGAAGGCCAAGGGCGTCCTGTCCTGTATCACTAGTAGTGTGGCCAGCAGGACTAGGGCAGTGATCGTTCCCCTGTACTCAGCACTGGTGAGGCCGTGTCTTGAATCCTGTGTCCAGTTCTGGGCTCCTCACTACAAGACACACAATGAGTTGCTGAAGTGTGTCCAGAGAAGGGCAATGAAGCTGGTAATGAGTCTGAAGCACAAGTCTTATGACGAGCATGTGAGGGAGCTGGAGTTGTTTAGCCTGGAGAAAAGAAGGCTCAGAGGTGACCTTATTGCTCTCTACAACTACCTGAAAGGAGGTTGTAGCCAGGTGGGTGTTGGTCTCTTCTCCCAAGTAACAAGATGAGAGGAAAACAGCCTCAAGCTGAATCAGGGGAAGTTTAGTTTGGATATTGGAAAAATTTCTTCACTGAAAGGGCTGTCAATCACCAGAACAGGCTGCCCAGGGAAGTGGTTGGATCACCATCCTTGGAGCTATTTAGAAGACATGGATGTGGCACTTAGTGACATGGTTTCATAGTGGACTTGGCAGTGTTGGGTTACTGGTCTTAGATCTTAGAGATCTTTTCCAACTTGAATAATTCTATAATTCTATGACTTTCAGCCATGCATATGTGTCTTATGGACATGACCAAATGGCAATTCTGCTGTCTTCTGATCAGGGGGAGATCAGTGCAGAGGTTTGGGGTGACTCAAAATACTTCCATTCCCCTGTATTTGTTTTACTTCGGTAAACTAAAAATAGGAAGGACTAAACCTGCAATAAATGGCAACACGAATATAACACATGTTGTGACTGAGGAGAAATACAATAATTTGCAATGGCATCCTCCAAAATCTGTTGCCAGGCTTCCATAATTATTCCAAGTTTGTCCATGGTCTCCATAGCAGCCTTTCCTGAGGCTTGAGGCCGGTGTAATGACTCACAGTGGTTCACTGAAGGACTCAACTTCTTTCCAAAGGAGTCTGAGTCACAGGATGCCAAACCTGGATTGGTTTCCTGTAATATAGAGGTTCCCAAGCTATGGCAGACATACCACTCATGGTACACAAGCCACCTCAGCGTGGTGCTCCAAAACCTCCCAGACAGTGCCACAGGGTATACAAGAGTAAGCAGGAGATGTTGCTGCTACTGGCAAACAAACAAAATTCTTTGGAAACTTCTGCTTTAGTAAGTTGCTGAACTCATACTGACTCTGTCCCTCTATTCCTCAGAAGGGTAACAACAGTTTACCACAGCACAGTAGTAAAAGCACTGAATATAGACCTTGTTGTGAGCCCTGGGCTGGTTTCCTGAACTCATTAGTGGTGCCACTGTGGGCACAGTGTTACAGCAGCTGCCCTGCAACCTGCAGCAGAAGTTTCTCACAGAGTTCTCACTCATGAGCATCCACTCTGGAGTAGTACAATGCGCAACTCATCCTGGCACACACACCTCCTCAGCAACAGGCTTGAGTTTTGCAGCAGATTTTAGAAGAAGGGAAGTCAGAAATGCAATCTTTCCTCCTAGATGACCATCCTAACCACAGGCACAGATTTAGGCTTTCCTTTATATTCCTTTTTGTCTTCTGGTCCCCATGAATCTCATTTTCCTGGAAAAGTGGGTGTTCTCCCATGCAGCAGAGAGCTAGCTCCTCCCAACTTGCCAAGTACAGTTTATAACCTTATATTTAAAGGGATAATTTTGTGCTTTGAATCTCCTCAGACTAAGGAAAGGCAGGAGTCCAGGCCACCCACTCGCTGGATGACACAGGGCAGCCTCTGGAAGGTGCTCTTAGCAGATGCCTGTTGTGTACTAGGCTGGACACTGTGGTTTAGTGGATGCTGGCTATGTCAAGAAGAGATGTACCCGAACAGGCCTATCTGAAACACACAGGTAGTTAGATATTGCTTCACTTTATTAAAACACATTGAATCCTGAGGCAAATAAGAGTAAGAAACCCATAACACATTAGTAAAGCAAATTACCTCACAACTACTGATGGCAGCAACCAGTGATATAAATCTGTGCTACGTGAATACCTCTGAAGGCACAACTCCACATCCATTTTTTTCAGCAGCAAAACCATCCCAAGGTGTCCTCCACTCCTCATTCCTACCTCACCATCCCAGAGCTATCAGCTTCTCAGGTACATTAAGGCTTGCTTGCATGCATTTCATGACTTATTTCATTCCCTAACCAGTCCACTCCACTGGTTAACTCATCCCACAGTTAGACAGCCCATACCTACAATGGATGTTCCTTATTGTAACTTCAAGTCATCTTTCTTTTCTCCCTGAGCATAATGTCACAAGGACCAGATTAGCTCTGTCTACCCTGGAACAATCTTTAACATCTGTGAAGGCTCCTACCACCCCTCTCCTCAGACATCCTCTCCTTTTCCTAAAAAAACATCATTGCTTAGGAGATGGAGACAGACCAGCCCCTTCCCTGCTATTGGTGGGCATCAGTTGCAGCCTACAGCAGCTCCTGGTGCCATCCCTGAGAAGGTCTGGTGACATATGACACTGCTAGGCACATCCAGACCGATGACCTGTATTCTGCCCCTCCATTGTCTTTTTTTACCTGAAAGGCCAGGCTACACAACAAAGAAACAGTTACATTGAATAACACTGTCAAGTCACAACACTATTGCTATGACACCTTCCAGCTTCACCTACTGAGAAGGCTCTGATACCACATATCAACTGAAACAGGAAACATTTTACATCCAAATGGACAAAGCTGTAGGCTTTTTTTCAGAACTGAGTTTGATGGTGGCTGTAGCATTGCTCCTTAAGGCCCACTGGCCTTCCAGAACACAACCGAGTATCTGCCATCCTGGGGTATCACCAGCCACTGGATATCAGGACTAGCACTAGCATTTATTCATATGCTCTGATACCATCCTTATAAATGTTCTTAAAAATCAAAGATGAAGAAATTAAGTGAGCAAAACTACTTACACTAAGATTAAATCAGGGTAACTCTCTTCCTTGTCAAGTTGACTTGTCAATTTCTGACAAAGCCATATCCCAAACCTCTCTTGATGACCATAGTGGCTTTCACAACTGCTTTTCATTCCAAAATCCTCCCTGCATCAAACTAGCAGTCATCTGCTTGAAGCCTATCCTCTTCCCTTTTTACCCACGAGCTGGGCTAGCCCTGTCTTTTAATTGAAACTGGCATCACTTCACTTTCTCAAGATGTCAACATCTCTTCTATTTGCATTCAAGAGACAATATCAGTTCTAGAAAAAAAAGAGATTAGTCTTTGATAATCTTTCTCCTACCTTCCCCTTCCAATAATGAATGTAACTAATATTGCAGCTGGAGATGTTATCTAGAAATCACAGAGCAAGGATTGAAGCAACTCCCTTTCCATACCCAAAAAATAATGTGAAATAGTGCTCTGTATCTGCATCAGTAAGTAGCATTTAGTACAGAAAGGGTCATGAACAGCGTACTACTTCTGATGGTTTTATTGGTCACAGGCAATGTTACAAAGCAGTTACATTGAATAATGCTGTCACAGTCCTATCATAATGTGAGGTTGCTACAACACATTTGGATTTCACACAGTGAAACTATTTTAGGTAAAAAGAAAATCATACTCATAACATAAGATCAAGAAAATATATTTGGTTAAAAGAAAAATGGTCCCAGAATTTCAGCCCACTCAAACTGAAGTTAATGGAAAAGCTTCCTCTGACTTCAGCAGGCTCTGAATCCAGCCTTCAACATGCCCTGACCAAGCTGTAAGGTAAAATGTCTCTCTGCTCAGTCACAGGCTCTTTCTTCTTCTGACATACTTGTGCGTGCTGTGTTTTCTTCTTTTTAAGTGAGAACAACATAAATGTGTAATTGACTATGTCAAATTTCATACATAACAGAGCCAATGTTGGGTCATTTAGAGAGTGGGAGAATTACAAAGGTAATAGCATGTGTACTGGAAAAGCAGGGAATTCCTACACTCCTGAGTGCCTGTAGCAGCTGTTTGTGTAGCCTGAAAGTTTCCAAGAAAGCTCATTACATGGTTCTTCAGAGTTTGCATCTCTGCCATCATCTGTGCATTCAAAAATGGGATTTCAAAACCACAGCTGACAAAATCATGTACCAAACTAAGAAACACATCTTTGCTTCAATAAAGTGAAATCTTTTAATCAAATTCAAGTTCAGTTTGAAATAAGATAATTATTTCTAGGAGCTCAGAAATATCCCTGAATCAATTTCTTTTCATTTATAGGTGACTTGATGCATCCTATACCGCTCGTTCAGAGGATGCATGTACAACATGCAAATTGTGCATCAAATTCGCCGCTGGTTTTGGAGCCACCAGAGGGCACCGACACGCCAAGGCTTGCCAGCCCACGGAATTCCTGTAGCCAGGAGTCTTTTCCATGCCGTGGAAGTTTTAGTTACCGGTCTTACTAACCAAACTATAGCTTCTTGCACTATAATGCTGCATTATTTTGTGAGACCCAAAAACTCAGAATGTAATTCACGCTTCAAGGAAAACTGCAATGAGAAGTGCTGTTGTTCAGATTTCAACGGTCACAAAGAATGTATTTTTAAAGTAGCATATTGATCATAACCCATGCTTTATGAATTTCTCCCTCTCCAGTGCATATCAAAGATAACATTTGTGTTCATGTCTCAGACTATGATGACCAAACGCTGTTAGCATAATAATGGACAAGGCTCTACCACATCCAAGTGGCAATGACAGGAGCTGCCATCCTATGTCACAAGCATAGTCCATCAGGAGTCCCTGAGATACAAATATGGCACCCACTCTCCTCCCTACTGGCATTTTGGTCAAGAGTTCTCAATAAATGTTCCAGCTTATTTAAAAAAAGTGTTTTCATTAATTAAAAACAGTCTATTTACAAATCAGTTGTGAAATGGATAATAACATTCCATAGGAAAAATCAGACTGACTCAAAAGTTGGTAAATATGTTTTTAACTGTAAAATCTCAGATACTGGCTGGTTTCTGTCTTGATAGAAGCTGAGTCCCGTAATTAATTCTATATCTCTGATCCGAGCTGTATGAAATTTCATTCTCTCTTCAACCCACATGGACTCAGACTTGCCATCCTATTGGGACAGAGGAAAAAAAAAAAAAAAGGGTTGTTAAAATTTTTTCTGATATACATTTAAATTATTAACAAAGAAAATTTTGATGTTTTATAAAGACAGAAACCAGTAACTGTTGGCAAACATCTAACAAACAGAGTGTGCAGGATTATAAAAATTTAGAAGCTTGTCTGAATTCAGTACTTGCTGTTACTTCCTCAAGTATACAAAACTTGTAGCTACACCAGATCTATCCATCATCTCTTTGATAAAACTATTTCTGAGAGCTGTGCCTGACTTGAGTAGTGACTTCTGTAACCCCTTGCTGCAGGATAGGTCTATACACTTTCCACACTTCTTTTCTCATGTATATGGAGGGGAGCTATGTGCATTCCCATCACAATACCAAGATACCTGAACTAGAAGCAACCAGTACTCTTCAGGAACATCTGTGTTTTCTTCTGGGAATGCATATGCCTTCGTATTGACCTTTCATTGTGGGTGACTCCCCCTAGAAGCTCTTTATCCTTCTCAGCTGTTGACTGGATAGTTGCATTACAGAAATCTATGTATATATCACATTGATGGTCTTGGTATACTCTGACTTCACTCTGCTAACAAAGTTTTGCTCGTTGACCAGGGAACTTTTATTTTCACATCTGATCATACATAGAGACTTTAACATCATTCTGTCTACAAAAATGCTGTCTTCTCTCTCAAGATGATCATGATAGGCTGTACCATTCTTACAGGTTTTAAGTAGTAATCACCATATCCAAGCAAAACAAGCTCAAGCTTGACTTCAGATGTTCATGGGGACTGAAGAGACTACTTACTGCACAGCTTTCACTGTTGTCTTCTCTGTGAGGTACAATGAAAGACAAGGCATCTAGAGACCCTTCACACTCTAGAGGAGTTTCAGAAGTATTTTTACAGCTAGTCAGCACAATGAAGAAGTGGGATGGAACTAGAACTTCTGAATTACCAGGGTATCTGAAATACAAAAGATCTTTCTGTAAATCCACCAAATCATACTTGCACAAAGAACAAATGACAGTAATCAGCTGTATTCTGGCATATCAATTTTAGCAATTCACCTATTTTTCCCAAAGAAAGATTAGATTTGGAAGGAAAACTCCATATTAGTATTCTGCAAATCAAGTTTGTCTTGTAGGCTGATTTAAGTAACACGTTTGATGAGGTATGACAAACTGATTTGTCATAAAAATGTGTAAAACTGAAGAGTTGATGAAGAGTTCAGCTCAAGCCCATCCACCTGTTGGCTTGAACCAATTTTGCTAATTAGCATAACTCACAACTTGTAGTGGAACACTGCCAGCTCAGGAAGTGTCAACCATGCCACTAGGGTAAGTCCTTGCCTCATCCTCTCCTAGAGGCAATGTCCTAAGTTTTCAGGCTAGCAGACATTCTTGCACATGAAACAGCTTCTCTTACACTTCACCTTCAGGTTTTAAGATAACAAATTTTGGAGGTGCATTTTCTTTTTGTACTTGTTGCTTCTTTCTTAACTTTACTTTTCTGCATCTGCTTAGAGCGATTTGTCTGTCTCTCTGAACTGATATAACCTGACAAGGGCCCATCTCCGCAAGATTTCTTTCAAAAGAAGGATGCTTGTTAGACCACTTTTGATACTTTTAGACCACTAATGGAAGGAAGAAACATAGGATTAGAATGGGAAAGGTTCTCACCTTTTCAACTTTTCTGGGGTATCATAGAGCCCATCAGAATCATAATCAAACACAGGACCACTGACTACATTGACACCATTCCTGGCTGCAGCATGTTCAGGTAGCAGGTATTGATGGAAGTAGTTCCATAACACTGAAACACAGTAATAGAAGAGTGAAATAATCTCCAAGATAGAAGCTGCTAATACAACTCTACAGAGTCTTCAGTGGAGTATAAACTGACATATAAGCTAGGAAAACAATAAATTCTATAGGTGTTTAGTTTTTGAAGGTTGCATCTAACTGGGCAGCAGCATGGACTGCAGTATCTCCTGGCGTTGTGGTTTCACAGTCACCCTACCCACAAACCTGACTGAGGCATAGTGGTGCTGCTCCCTTGCGGCCTTGGCTTTTTCCTTGGAAACCAAATCGTGGAGAGACTAGAGGAGGAAAGGCCAGAGAAGATCATGCCCGCCTGTGTCTTGCCTCACTATCAAGTTGGCCTGGCTAGCTTGTACACCCATGCCTATAAGCTGGTAAGTATCTAACCTATATAATATTTTTAATTAAAATTAACAGTTGAACAATATTCCATTACAAAACAGGATATCTCTTTTGTCCAAGAAATGCCTTCTTTTTCACCCCAGGAATATGCTTAATCTCTCTCAGCCAGCCATCTCATGTTCCTTCTCTCCCAGGAAAGTCCAGGTCTTCATAACTTTTCTACTAGAGACATGAATATTTTCCTGTTTCAATAGTGACTGAAAGTATAAAATGCAACTTAATATAACTCCCATAACTATATATGGTATCTGGATTCTCTAGAACAAATTTGATATAAACCCCTGCTTAGGTGCATAGGAAAACGCAAAAAAAATGTTAAAGATCAAATGAAGACACACCGTGCTCTCATGTAATGAGCCAGTTGACTAGGAATCATTAGCTCACGACAGTGGGTCTTTTTCACAAGGATGATAATCCTACTTCAAGGAACTTTTCACTGAGGTATACAGTCGCAAGAAGTCTTATTTAACAGGGGCAGCTTAACCAGAGAACATTTGCATGGTTTGGAAGCAATCAAAAAAATCAGCAGTCTTTCTTATATTCAACTGTGCACATAAAATGTGCATACAAATAAAATACCTTTAAATGCAGGATACATTGGCACAATGTTGCTGGTAAGCAAAGCATCATAGTGAGGGCTCTCTGCATCTGTCATAAAATCTGAAGCAAAAAAAGGCAATTAATTACTTGGATTTGTTACTTGAAACTTGCATTCTCATAACATTAAGATGGAGCTGACTTAACTTCACTTTCCAAACCTGATGTGGGTCTAAGTGCTAACTTCAGTACATACTGGATTCCACCTAAAATAAATTATCTTAGTAGCAGCAGCAATTTCACTTTTGAGATATACAGTTGGTGAATTTTTGTGGGATTTAAAAATATCAGAATAGGCTTCTGAACTGGGGGGAAGGGAATAAAATTCACAACCACCAGACCAACCACCCTGACTGCAGAATCTATGCCTAAAGATAGGAGCTCTACTGGAACTCTGCAAATTACATTTGACGCAGATGTTTAAATAACCTACTACTTGGTACTCTACACAGTAAAGAGAAAAGGCCTCCAAATCACATCAGTGACAGTTCACAAACAATTTATCCACTTCTAAAGACCTAAGTATTTTGTAATATATTTGAGAATCAGAACTATGTTCCTCAGACCAATGCTGAATTTCTACACTAATGACCACATATGGCACATAACAGTATATTTCAAATAGACAATAAACTTATCAAGGCAGTTTTTTACTTTATGAAACATCCCTAAATTTTACTTTGGGTAGTTCTAACTAACACCTGTCATACTAAGCGAATTTGCAATTTTCTGGCTTGCTAGACTTTACTCGATCTTTACATGTTCCTTCCAATTTCTTCTATGAGATGCCAGTTTAGAAACCTGATAAGTTTCAAAACTTCTGGGAAGTACTAAGTGACCTTGGACAATCCATTGGATGCTTAAGTGCTTAAAATGTTTTTCTTTCTCATATGCTGAAGTGAACTGCAACAATTCAGCAACTACTGCTTCATACTCTGATTAGTTATCAAGAACATCTACAAAACACTATATCTGCTACATTACAAATTATTTAAACGAGATAAGCTATATAATGAAGGCAACCTACTTACTTGGAGGAGTAAGAAAACTGTAAGTGAGGTAAGGATGATTGTTGTAAAACAAACATGTCTGGTTTTGGTTCTGTGAAATACGAACATCTTTGTGTAAACAGTTGGAGGTATTTTCTGTAGCAGAAACCCATTTGTCCTATTGAACAAGAAGAAAGTATCATTGTTAAAAGATGACTTACAATAATTCTCTTGTTATGAGTGACTGCAGAACTCTAAATATTTAGCTGCAACTGCCTTTAACGGTGTGAAGGGACTTAAGGAAGACACAAGAATTTTTCCTCTTCCGTCAGTGGAAAACAAGCCCTTCCACCCACTTCATATATCTTGGAATTGAAGTGAACAGAACTGCAGGATTTTAGCCAAATTGAGAATAACATCTTCCAAAAGAGAATCTAGAGGTGTCCATTAGACACCTGATTTACAGCAATTGTACTTGTTCATTCAGGCTAGAAATCAGAGACACAAACAGATGTGTGAGCCACTTGTTACAGTAACTGGTTGCTTCATGACACTAACCTCAAAATATTTGGGATCAAGCAAACCGTGACAGAGTTTAGCTAAATTTAATTATAACAGTCATTATTTAAAACCTATAATCAAATTTAAAAGCATCCTCTACTATCCTAATTCTTTCTAAGCATGACATGGCTTCTAATTTTCCTCTGAATAGGAAAGGTCAACTTGAAAAAACTTCCATTCACCAGATCAGTGCCCTGCATGAACAGGTGTATCTTAGCATAGGTTTCAGGACAGCAAAGACCTGATTTATTTCCACCTCTTTTTTTCCCCAAGCAGGATTATATTGTGAGAGAAGGATCATATCAGGGCATGAACAGTTCAAGACAGTCCAGAGATTACTTTTTCAAAAGGATCTGGCCACATTACAAACACTAAGACCAGTAAACCTATGTTGAGACCACAGTTTCAGGATAGCACTGACAGACTACTATAGCAGATGTATACTGCCAAGCAGTAAGCCAGTGCAGACTCACAGGGGTTCTATATCAATACCAATGGACTCCTCACTTCCTGGTGGGTCTGCTCACTCTGGAGGCAAAACTGTTACACTCTGAGAAATGGAAAAGAGTCAAAGCCAATCCTTATCAGCATAGTGAAGTGAAGAAAAACTCTCTTGAAGTTCCTCTTTATATCTCATGTGGTTTGACTTAGTTCCCTGGGAGGTAATATTACAGAATCATTGAGGAAAACACCTCTAGAATCATCAAGTCCAACTTTTGACCAATCACCACCTTGTCAACCACACCATGGCACTAAGTGTCACATTCAGTTATTTCTGGACCACCTCCAGGGATGGTGACTCCACCACCATGGTGACTCATAGAACACACGGATCTAAGGAGCATACAGGAATAACTGACATTCAAGCATTTTACTTCTCAAGGTTGCTACAAACCTTTCTTCATATACTTACATCTTTGCTAACAGTGTATGCGCTCCACAGAGACATCCTGTAGTCCTTGCTGTATCCACTCACATAGCGGGAATGGTAAAGGAGGCAGTAATTATGTCTTTTCTGCAGAACCCTGGGCCGTCCATAGGGTAAAGTAAGTTTCTCTGTTTTCTTAACTGCAACAGAAATAGTGCTTATTACTTTTCAATTAATACTGGTCGTTAAGTATCTTCATCTTTTATACACCTTTAATTTTAAATTGCCAAACAAACAGAGAAATCACAGTAATGAAACAAAAAAATTTCATTCTTATATCAAAAGCACAGTTCCTGTGCTAAGGCAAAGGTGACAAAGCCAGTATAAAGCTTATATTTAAACCAAAACATTTTGCCATCTAAAATAGGAGGTTAATCTAAGTTGCAAAGTTAAAGTCTTTGTTGACTTTCTGTTTCAATTTAAATATATAATGTGATATCTGCTTCTATGTAACATTTAGATGAGAGAGAAACCAATTCTGGTGATTTGAAATTACTACTTTTGTAGAAACCATAAAGTTGTATGTAAAAGTGACATTTAAAGGACTAAGAAATACAGTGATCTAAACAAACAATACAGTGAAGCTGGCTGGATTTTCAAATGTATTTTCATTAAAAGTATGCTGCCACTATGATATCAGTATTTGCATTGATTTCTTATCAGATATTTCCACTTACACCATTTTAGCTTCCCATTCTGGAATGCTCATTACTTCAATGCTGGAAAAGTCAAAAGTATCAGATTATACATATGCCATAAAGACACATGTATAAGGACACACATTTATTTGAGAACAAATTGTTCAGTAGGATTGTATTCAAAAACACTGGAATCATAGAATGGTTTGGGTTGGAAGAGACCATAAAGATCATCTAGTTCCAACCCTGCTGTCAAGGGTGGGGACACCCTTCACTAGACCAAGTTGTTCAAAGCCTCATCCAACCTGGCCTTGAACACTTCCACGGATGGGGCATCCACAAATTCTCCAGACAGGACTATAGATCCAATGGTTATTTCAAAGAATTTTTACATCATTTACATAAGAGTTCCTCAGAAGTTTAAAAATACAAAATATTTGATGGTTAATAAACTTTTTTGTTAAATTTTTATCTTGTATTATTATCATCTAAAGTTCTTACCTTCTGCTTCAGTGAGATTTAAACGCTGATTAAAATCCCTTATTGGCAAGCCCTATAATTATAAAGCAAAAGCGGTGAGATTCTACAAAGTATTCTACAAAGCATACCTTGAGTTGGTATTACCCTTAAAGTACTGCATGTAACTTCTGTCTTGCAAGTCACACGTATACAGAACTCACTGACGTGTACTGCAGAGGAGCAACAGGGAATTTGCAGAAACAAATGGGGTTTGCATTTGTTTGCATCTACAGACTTGAAAACCACAGGCCAAACACAGAACAGAATAGAATCATAGAATCATAGAATCATAGAATCGATTGGGTTGGAAAAGACCTCCGAGATCATCGAGTCCAACCCTTGGTCCAAATCCAGTCCATTTACTAGATCATGGCACTCAGTGCCACGTCCAATCTGCGTTTAAAAATCTCCAGGGATGGTGAATCCACCACCTCTCTGGGCAGCCCATTCCAATGCCTGATTACTCTCTCTCTAAAGAATTTTCTCCTGATATCCAACTTAAATTTCCCCTGGCGGAGCTTAAGCCCGTGCCCCCTTGTCCTATTGCTGAGTGCCTGAGAGAAGAGACCAACCCCCACCTGGCTAGAACTTCCCTTCAGGTAGTTATAGACGGTGATGAGGTCACCTCTGAGCCTCCTCTTCTCCAGGCTAAACAACCCCAGCTCCCTCAGCCTCTCCCCATAGGACTTATGCTCCAGTCCCTTCACCAGCCTTGTTGCTCTTCTCTGGACCCGCTCCAGCACCTCAATATCCTTTCTGAACTGAGGGGCCCAGAACTGAACACAATACTCAAGGTGTGGCCTCACCAACGCAGAGTACAGGGGAAGGATCGCTTCCCTGCTCCTGCTGGCCACGCTATTTTTGATACAGGACAAGATCCCATTGGCCTTCTTGGCCACCTGGGCACACTGTTGGCTCATGTTGAGCTTCCTGTCAATTAGTACCCCCAGGTCCCTTTCAACATAACTAAGTGAAGTGAAGTGAGCAAGAACTGAATGCTTTCCCCATCAAGCTTCTGTGACATTTTTCCATGCTCTTCAGAGGTGAATGTGACTTTATATAAGCAAACTGCAAAAATTAATACACAAATACAGGCTAGCACCCGCTAACCCCAAGCAAGATTTGATTTTGAAATGAATAGTAAAGGACTGAAATATATCTGGAGAATGCAGAGCTTCACTCTTTGAATACAACACAGACTTCTATCTCCAAGACTTTCACCATTTCAGTACTTACTGCTGTCCTGCAGGAGCAGCCAAGGCTCACTGAAAAGGCTCTTTGTCCCACCACAGAGCATTCAGAAGGATGGTTTGTTTCTTTGGGATGTTGGGGGGTATAAACAGGGTTCCTTAATAGATGGTTTAGGCGTCCATGAGTTCCATTGTTTGGGGCTGGTTTCAAATCAAGCAAATCTATGAAAGAATTCAAGTGATATTAGCAGAAGGAGAAAGATTGTAATAGTTGATTGTATTGTGCTTAGAAGTATGGATGAGTCAATAAAGCTGCACTTCTTGCTGCTCACAACACCCAACAAGGAAAGCAATGTAACCTCTTTAAAAGGGACCATGCATGTTTTTAATTAGGGTTCAGGACAGTATTAGTCTGCTTATAAGGTTAAGTTCCCTCAATTAATTTTATATCAGAAAGTTTACATGCTGCCTTTTCTACATCCTATTCTTCTAATGCTTTCTGTACAGAATGGAAGAAATCTAAACATCAATGAGTGCACTTAAAAAAAAAATGATCTGTCACTGAACTCACTTCAGTGTAAGCACTCTACCCCTTCCATACAGCATACACAGAACAGCTCAGGGGGGCACAAGACGGTATTTCAATATCAACCATGATATGAGAAGACAGAAAAGCATACAAGGTTGAGAGAGACATGCTTGTTTCCTATTCCAGCAAACAACTTAAACACACAGTTTAAATACAGTATACTTGAATATTGCCACTGATCTCAAGCATTTGCCATGCTCCTCTTCAGTGTTTCCTGGATCAAACCCTTTGGTAACACTTTGTCTCTCATAGATGCAGTACAGGTTCTAACAAGAGAGGGAAGTAGACAGGAAATAGTAGAAAACAGGCGAAGACCTCAAGGGGAATAAACAAACAGAAAGTGGTAGATCTAGTGATAGACTTTTGGAGAAAGGTAACGAAGAAGGGACAAGGCAACAAGGAATAACAGAGGGAGGAAAAGGGGGCCACAACACATCTAATTTTCAGAAAAAAACAACACTTCTCTGGCACAGTGTGGTCTGCATGGTGTTAGAAAATAAAGTGAAGAACATCTGTATATGGAGCGAACAGTCTGAGATCCTCAGATACAGAAACAGACTGCATGGAACAGCACCAAGTCATGAATTCTAGAGTGACACCATAGAGAGGGGAGAAACTGGAAACCTGAGTATTGCAGAGACAACTAGCTCTAGAGCAAGATTCCAAGGCGATGGGACTACAGACTAGCAAAACACTTGCAGTCCATCAGAACACCAAAAAACTCACATATTTGAAACACCTGTTGTATTAGACAATGAGAATGAGTAGGAAAACATTCAAAGCTAGTATTAAAAGATACAATACAGAAATTAAACAAGTGACACATAAATGAGGAATTTGAGAGGGGTTTTTTACATGAAACAAGTAAAAAAAAAAGAAAAAAATCTAAATTTTATCTGAATTAAAAACCTGTTTAAATTAAGGAACTAAAATTAAAAATATGGTAAAGTGAAAAAGAAGAAAACACATGACAATATACAAGAAACCCACATAAAAAGAAGGTGTGACTGATGTAGGCTTTCTGGAAACGGGCTGCCTGGCTGCTGCACCCATAGCAATTACTCTGTTCTGCCTGAATAAGGTCACCTGAGTGATTAATCTGATAAAGCCTCTAGTTAGATATGAGAGAGAAATATCCCTTCTTCCTGATGGTAGAGAGATTGTGAAGCAGCCAGTTTTAGTAGTGGTGAGTCAAAGTGTCAGCTCTGGAGCAGCCAGAGGAATACACAGATCAATGGAAAAGAGACATACAAGGTGGCCTGACAAGGAGATCCTAAACTGCTGTTAGTCATTTAGAGATAGACCTTTCTCGGAAAAACAACAGTTTTTTATTTGTGAAAATCCACAGCAAGTCTTAAGGACGAGTTTCTAAGGACACTTAAAAATCTGTTACTAAAAGATTTACAATGCCCAAAAGATATCACATTTTACTGAACAAAAATGACCCTCATCCATTGTACTTACCACACAATAAATTATATACTTCAATGTTTTCAAATGGATCAACTTGAGTACGAAACTTGAATCCTGGTCCAAAACCAATAAAGATAGCCTAGGATTTACAGAGAAAAGTATAGTGGAATTCTGTTTAAGACAAGTTGAAATGGAAAGTATCTTCATACTCAGAGAGCATTTTCTTCCAAGAACTTAATCTTTACTTTACCAACATAGGTCAGATCAAGTCAAAAGCATAAGTTTTTCTTTTAAAAAAGAAGATGTATAAGAATAACTTTTTAAAGTAGTAAAAGAGTATTAGGAAACCCAATTCTGTTTCATTGCCTTTAGCCATTTATGAAGACCCTTGTTCTTTTCTGCTTTTGAAGAAGTTAGTAATTTTCTTAAATGCTTTAAGAGATTTAATGGAAATGTTGATCCAAAATAACCATCACATTTCATGTCCTGTAAACAATTTGGAAGCTTTTAACTTAAGGCTATAAAAACATCTGTTGGTAGCAATGTTTTAAGTGGTTTAAGCAATGAAAAGGTCATAGGCTTCTACGCCTGGTTTGCAGCTGTTCTTTCTTCTTGCACCATTTCCTGAGCTGTTCTGGACCTGATCCAGGAACACAGCCAGCTCAAAAACTTTTCTGTTTTTTTTCCTGCTGGTTCTTTTCCTTCTGGTTCAATTTGCCAACCTACTTGACACTGCAGCCGTGCAAAGCTTACGCTAGCATACAGTAGGGTTTGCTGCGTGAATAAGAACAAGGAGAGAAGGGCAACAAATGCTTAAACTCAACTGCTGCCAAAAATATTGTTTTAAAACTTATCCTGAGATATTCAGTTTATTTTTTAATGAAATGAAACAGATTATACCCATCTGTGGCATCAAGATACTGAATGAGTGATAGATGCTTTACTCTCTATAGCATCTCCCTGGGTAAGATCTCCAAGCTTTTTGCAAAAAATGCAATTGTCTCAGATTTCACAGAAGTTAAAAACTCAACTCTACCAGCTTTTTTTGAGATTAAAGCGTAATGCAGGGTGTCATTCTGCAACTATTGATACTAAAATCTGTAGGCTAATAATTTACTCAACAAGCCTAATTTGAACTAGATGAGGTAGGGACTTGCTACCTCCTTTCTCTTGATTTTGGTAATTACAGAGTATAAAATCTATGCTGTTATAATGTTAGCCACAATAAGGACAAATTATATCTGTTTTAAGACCTGTTAGGGATGCTATGAACTGACAATCCCAAGTGTCAACATTTGAATAAACATACTGAAAAAATTTACAGTTAAACTGTATCAGAGAGAAACAATATGCTAAACTGTCATTTGGCATCACATGGCCTTGCTGGTTGAAACCCATTACTAGATACACTATCAACAGGTTTTCCATTGTTAAATCAGGGAAGAAGAACAGGCCTGGAAGGGTAAACCAATACAAAATTAACACACGTTTTGGCTAACATGTTTTATGGCTGTTTTCTAAAAACAGTTTGATGCCAACACCATATAATTCTACAACACAGGAAAAAAAGGTTTTTAAGAGAAATCTCTGTGTCACATGGACTATGTAGGTCTTTTCATAAAACCTGTTTTCTCTCTTTATAGATGTCTTTACACATATTCACTGTAATAATTCCAAGTACCTCACAACTGTTTGTGAATTCTATCCTGAAAATAGCTTTCTGAAACCAAGAGTATTGCCTTTCACTTTATTGATAGCAGAAACTAAAGCAGGGATGGGTTAAGCGACTTCCTCAAATTAGATGAAACTGACTAAGAATCTGATTTCACATTTTCCTATGATCTCTTCCCATTTGTCATTAAAGAGAAGAATTTCAGGACTTTCCTTATTTTATGACTAACGTGCTTTCTCCTCAACAGACTACCTCAAAACAGTGATACATAATCTATCATGACAGAGTAGAATTACAGAGCTGGAAGATAATTTAGTCAACTTTTTAAAAGCCGAAATCAAAAGTAATTATGTTATTTCTGAAAGATGCTTGTCTGACCAGTTTTTAGGTAGTGCCTGTCATGAAAGTTCCACAGACTTCCAGGGCAAACTAATGTACTCATTAATGGTTTAAAAGAAAAAGTTTTCTAATAACCAAATGAGCTCTTCTTTATTGCAGTTTAAGCCTGTTACTTCTGTTCTTAGGCAACCCAGAAATCAAATGAACTCTAGGTTTACAGACCAGGAAACTGACTGGCTTAGCAACAACTTCCCTTGCAAGGGCCTGGGTGACACAGTGGACAACAAGGCAAATCTGAGCCAGCAGCACACCTTGGCAGCAGAGCATCCTGCACTGTACAAACAGAAGCTCAGCCAGCAGACTGAGAGAAGGGATTGTCCCTTTCTACTCAGCAATTCTTTAGACTACATCAGGACACTGCACCTTCAACATAAGAATGACATCAATAAACAATCATCATAAATTCAGGGGAGGACCCCCAAGGTGGCTGGGGGCTGAAGTCCTTGTCTTGCAAAGAGGAACAGGGCTTGTTCAGCACAGAGAAGAGACTGCTTCAGGCAGACTCATAAGCAGTCCTCCAGTACATACAACAAGGTCATCGAGGAGAAAGAGCCGTGCTCTTCAGTGCTACTCAGCAAGGGGCAGAGAGAGAACAGGCAAACTGAAAGAAGAAGGGTTCTAGATGGCTATAACTAAACACATTTATACCAGGAGGATAGTTAGGCAGTGGAATGTGTTGGTTAGAAGCTGTGGAGCCTCTGCTCTTGGTAGTTTCAAAGACACAGCTTCATAAAGCCCTGAGTAACCCGGTCTGATCTGAGACCTGACTCTGTTTTGAGTTGGATGTGAGACTAGAGACCTCCTGAGCTCCCTTACAATCTGAATTCTCTTAAGATCTACAATTATTTTATTTGATGATTTGATAAGTTCTCTTTTCCTGCTTTTAATGCTACAACAAAACAACTAGTCATACCTTTATACTCTTACTGGCAGAGCAAGATCTCTGGGGTAAATCCTGTTGGGTTTTGACCAATTCTTACAACAATGGAATCCCACCCTCTGTAGGTTACCTAGCAATATTAATCCTATAATTGCTTGATTTCTTTAATTACTGATGGAATAATGTCACAGATCTTTGAAAAAATAATCCCAACACCCAGCAAACACAACATTTGGAAACAGGAGCCAAAAAATAAGAGCTAACATAAATTTAAATCTCACCTGCATATTGGGGAAGCGATTGTCTGAGCCATGGAATCCACCTGTGCAGCTTTTAATCTCAAGTGGTTTTCTATTAAAAATACACAGTTTATATAACTCACACTTTATAAATCATATTGGTCTAAAACACATTCAGTGATGCCTTGTTCACTTCTCTATTTAAAGATTTTTAGAGGATCATCCATAGGGAATAAGAAGTCTTAAAGCTCTGGAAGACAATACCCTTAAAATCAGAATGGTAGTTTTCTCCGCAAATATTATCCCTTTGGAATTCTCATGTGCCCATCAGAGTCATCTGAAGTCAAATAGCACATGACATATGAACAAAATATTTGAATATTTGTTCTCAGGATAATAAATTTTCACTGTCATTTGGGTAACAGAACTTTACACTACTTTATATGAGTGATTCTTAATAGGTTTTTTTTATAAAATCTCTAATGTAATTTAGACCATTCAGTCTCATAAAAAACAAACCTCCAACCTATGCTAGGTCCGTATATATTATTTAAACACATACAGTTCTAGTAACCCAAACCTCATTTGCACAACTTGCACACATCTACGGTGCTATACAACAGGACTTACTAAAGACATGGACTGAAAAATTCTTCCATGATGAAAGCCCTGAATCATCACAGAGTGTTCAAAATTATATTATTACAGGAGATACCACTATTCTGGGAGTTGTAAATTCTTTCATCAAAACATGTAAGGTAATTAACAGTAGTGGAGTCAGTAAGTTCAAAGACTGACAAGATTGATTCAACCAAGTAATTAATTACATGCTTTGATTTCATGGACTCACTTTGGAAATTCCTAAAGCATAGCAAGATGTGCTCAAGTATCTGACAATGAGGACCTTAGTTTCTAACCTGCCACTATCTCCATACCCAGCAGGGAGAATATCTATAGCTGCCAGTTTAGAATTAAGCCTCCCCAGGCCAGCAAAACCTGTAGAGAAAAGCATGCACTGTTTCTGTGCAACATCTCTTTGCTGTGACAAACAAGAATACCACGCTCCAATAGATATCATTGAACTCTCAGCATCTGGAAGAACAAAGCTTTGAGAAAACAAGAAGTTATTTGTTGTATAATGAAGTACTGCAAACTCTAACTTACCGAGCAAGCTGCCATTGGGAGTCTAAATAGAAGTGCAGCGGTTCAATCCGGTCATTATAGGAATAATGGAAACGCTTGGGTAGTAGCTTTTTCATATAAGCTTTGAAAGGCTGGTTTGGTTCTCTGCACTGAAATGTTGAAATTAAAACATAAAATGTACATTTCACCAAAATTTACTTATGTCATGCATAGTTCTCATACAGCACATCAATTGCAAAGGGTCTGCAATAACTTGCACTAAGAACAGTATGATCCCATGAGGCTTGGAGTCATCCGGTCTCCAACATAAATATGAATGAATACTTAAATACTGACTGTTTTTGGATTCAATGGTTATTAGAAGAATATTTAATACTGGATTATGGACATAATTTACTTTTTTTTTCTTACAGCCTACAGTTGTACAGAACCAAACAGTAGTGTTTAGAATTAATAATGAATTATATTAAGACAAATATCATGATACTTTCACAAGTAGTAGGAGACTATCCAGTGCAATAATTCTATACCTCTGTACTAGAGAAGGTAATAAACATTCAAATGGTTTTTAGATTCAAAGAATCACAGAATATGCTGAGTTGGAAGGGACCCACAAGGATCCTAGAGTCCAACTCTTAGCCCTGCACAGGATAATTCACTCAGGGACAAAAAGATTTTTCCACAAACTAAGATGCATTAATGATTTAAAAAAATAAAATAAAAACAAACCCACACACAACACAAAACCAAAACAAAACCTCTACTGTAGTACTGGAATTTTTGAACAGTGAAGTCATCTATACAAATACCATAGCTCTCAACAACAGCAGGGACAGAGTGGAAAAACAAATTCACTAAGTTATAAGTGACAAAAAATTCAATATCCTGTCTCAAAGCTGTTTATCAAAAAGGTGTGAGCAAGAAAATCTTATGCGTGTCCTAACAACAGAGCTGAAATTTATCCTGACTTGGTCCTCAGGTAGTATGGTCCAGATACACAATTTCTCCAGTTTGAAGAGCAACAGGAAACAGTTAGTGAAAAGAAATTAACACAAAGCCTTAGTTAATGCACAACCCAAGAGCAATGTCACCTTAGTCAATTTTGATCTTTCCACGTATGGAACTACTTTTGCTGTTGTTATGGAAGGTCACACACACAGAACCACACACAGAATCAATTAGGTTGGAAAGGACCTCTGAGATCATTGAGTCCAACCCACCATGTCAACTAGACCATGGCACTAAGTGCCATGTCCAGTCTTTCCTTAAACACCTCCAGGGACAGTGACTTCCCTGGAGTGACTTCCACCTCCCTGTGCAGTCCATCCCATGTTTAATCATCCTTTCTGTGAAGAAATTCTTCCAAATGTCCAAATGAAACTCCCCCTGGTGCAGCTTAAGACTATGTCCTCTCATCCTGTCATTGATTCAAAGTCCAGATGCTATGTAAGTCCAGAAAACAGCTGACACTATAAAATACCTGTAAATGTCAGTAGACATTAAGCTAGAACAACAGATAAGACAACACCTACCGTGAGGTTTCTGACAATGCCTTCATAATTAACTGGAAGAATCATAGGTAAGTATTAGAAACCTAAGTCAAAAAAAATCAGATGTAAAATGAAAGCATTCCCATCACATAATATAATTGGCTTAGTTTCAAAAAATTCCTGGGCATAAGAAACTTTTTTTCCAGAATGAAAACCATGTAGAGCAAAATAATCACTAAACTGTCAAAGTATTGCTTTCATGAAATTTTAGTTCAGCCTCTCTTCTCTTTGCTTACTTATTTACAGCTTCAAATGTTAAACTATATTAGTTAAACTTTAGTTAATACTATCAGTTACATGTTAAGCTATATATAAATGTTAAACTATATTAGCCACAGAATATTAGAAGAATAATCTAAGAAGTAAGTTTGTACAAAAGAGGTAATTAAATGCTGTGTTAATCAAGATGGATTTTTCCTATTTGCTAATAAACTTATAAAGAAAAGGAAACAAATGCAACTATCAGGAGAGCAGCTTCATCTGGCAAGCATCCTTAGAAAGACAGCCAAGTGCAAGCTGGCTAAGATTCAGATGCTTACACTCAAGCCAAAAGAGACCATTCCATCATGTAGTTCGACATTTTGTATAACACAGGCCCACTACATTTCACACAGTTACTCTGTCCCGAGTCTGATACCCAATACTTGACTAAAATACATAAAGCATTACCCTGGCAAGAGAACCATTCATAATTCCTGCAGAGATATATGCAGTGCTACAAAGACAGCTACGCTACTTCATTAAAACAGTGCACATGTCAAAAGCAGGAAATAAGTATCTGATTCCCACATTCTCTGATTAAACATTTAAAGCAGTTTAGAATAGCATTAAGCAATGAAGTAAACAGGACTTAAAATCACTGCGGTTGAGACCTACAAGTTTTAAAGAGGACAGGGAACAATAATCTAGACAGAAAAAAAAGAAACACTCAAACAACATAAAGGAAACTTGCATTCAAAATTCATAAGTACCAAACATTGTAGGTATTAAACAATCATCTAAAATGAGTCTGCTTAACTAATCAAAGTTTAAAATTTGTAAGCATTCATTGATTTTCACTCAGTTTTATTATCTCATTTATGTTTATTTGCAGTTTACTCAACTGCTGTCAGGACATTGGGCCATTTTTTTAATAACTATGAAACATATTATAATATTCAAAATAATATGCAAGTTATGGTAACAATCTGACATTCCTTTATGACAGAAATATTGCAAATTTATACACACACTAGCAAATCAGGAAATGAGGTGAGACATGAGGAGAGGATTTTTGGACTGTCTTGAGCACCAATGATCTTATTCAAAGGAATGGCATTCACAAGGCAGGAGGTATTTGCAGTTGGTCACTCTGAGGCAGCTCATAAAAGCAACCTGTAGGATTCAAATACACTTTCAGACTTGAAAAGTCAAATGGTCTTTAAAAACACAGGTGCACTACCCAGTATTTCCTCTTCATCGTTACTCAGGTTGACCCTAGCTGGCATTCGCTCAAGTTTACTCATGGAATATGTGGAGCTTAAGTTTGTATTTATAAAGTACAAAAAACATATAACCAAATAACAAAAGTTAGTTTAGCAACTACATACAAGAGAAATACTCATCTGGAACATTATTAGGTCTTAGGCGAGCTGCAGGACCAGGTACAACTATGAAATCTTGAACATTGTCCAGATAGCTGTTCAGATATGCTGTTTTTCTGCAACTCCCTGCTTCCATCCCTGTAAAAGGAAATAAATTTTATTTTAAAGTGGCAATATTCATGTAGAGCAGCCTTGCTATGGAGACAGGTAACTTCAGCTGTAAAAGTGAGAAACGTAATTTCTCTGCACTCTTTATCAGCAATCCCAAGACATCTGATCCAAGATGCACGTAGAATTAAAAAAACTACACACAGACAAACACAATCAATTCTTTCCTCAGCTGAGAAAGACTCTCCAATTGAATAAACGTACAATTTTTCTTCTCTGAAGAGAAAAGAAATCTTACAAGCCTAACAACAGAAGCAAGGGTCAGACCAAATATTAATTTAGCTGAGTATCCAACCTAATAGCATTCAGTAACATCTAGAGAAACACCCAATAAGTACAGCATTATGGACTGGTCTTTCTCCCAGTGCCCTTTATCAATTTCCAGAAGCCAAAGGGACTTCGAGTTGCATATTGCATTTGAACTCTTACTTTTAATAATTTTTGACAGGTTTACCTTCCATTAATTTCATAAATACTTTTTAAACCTGTACTGATACTTGGTTTGCATCATTCCCTGTGGCAATGAGTTTTGCAAGTCAGTTTTGTGTTGCATGAAAGTGTGCTTATATTATGTTTGTCAGAAAAAGACATTAAAAAAAATTGGTAAAATAGCTAGCTTATAGAAATAATTCCAGATATACAGAAAAGCTATTACAGAAATAAAGTTTTGTATTCACAGCCTTCTAACAATGGATGAGGGAACTGACAACTGAAAGGAAGATATGGCTTGTATTTTTGGTTCTTCAGCAATCTTCAAACTGTAGCTGTGTAGTGTAGTTAAAAGACAGAATAAAATGAAACCTACTTTTTACAGTTCAATTTTTTTATTCTATTTCTTTTATCGTCTGGTAATGGTCACAAAAAGAAATAAAATATGAAAACTATTTAATCCCCCCATATTCTCCACTTCTTCACCCCCTCATAAAATAATCTGATTCTCACTTACATTGGTTCTCTCTTATATCATCTTGTTAATATAAAACATATTTTATAGGTATTAGTTGCTTTGTTAATCTTATCAGAAACATGCAAGTATAAACTCAGAATATTACTTTATAAAAACAGTTCTTCAAAAGTTCTGATATATTTCATAAAATCAAATTTACCATGATCTGATACAAAAATAATATTCAGGCATTTATGCAAGTTCATTTGCTTTAGACCATCCATCAGCATCCCTACTATGTTGTCCACTCTCTGTAATGCTGTAATGACCTGCAGAACAAAAATAGGAATGTAAAATAAGTGTTAAAAATGCTGTTAAATATAGCTAAATAAAAATGAGAGCCTGAAGACTGCCTATCACCTGCACTGTTCAGAGTTGCCTCCATCTACAGAAGACTGGTTATATCTACACTATACAGGTCTTAATCCAATTTTTGTGCACCCCACACTGTACTATGACACAGCTACATATTTTTATGTGTTATTTCAGTTGCAGATGCTTAAAAAAAAAAAAAAAAAAAAAAAAAAAAAAACAAACTAACAAAAACCCCCAAAAACAAACCAACCAACCAACCAAAAAAACAACCAAAGAAAACCAAACCAAGCAGTGACAGGGGTTTTAAAGCATGAAATTGAGGATGCTTGTTGCATTACAAGGGGCACAACCAAGGCCAACAGGGAATGCACAAGGGTGCAGATACTGATGTGCTGAATAGAATAGAGGAGGCCAAACCTGTAGCACCCTTCCTCAAAATGTCTGTTGGGAGAGACCTTGGAGCAAACTGTCCTTGAAATTGTGCTCCAAGACTAATCTTTTCAAACTAGTTTAAAGAAACTGAAAAAGCCAAAGAATGAGCTACCATTGTAGTACTGTTAGTGACCAGGTTCTGGTGTCCAAGCTCACTTGCATAGATACAGCACTGGAGCTACTTTTGAATACTTGCTAAGTACAAAAAAAAATATTTTAAAATGAGGTAGATGTTACCTCATTGAACTACTCGTATAAACTGTCTTGCTTTGTGCAAACGAAGATGAGATGCTCTTGTAGAGACTATATATAAATCCTCAGGATCTTGCTCTCCAGAGCATTCCTGACATACAGAACTTTAAATCCCCTTATTAACCAAAGAAAAAAACTGCCAATTTAAATGTGTCCCCTATACTGCAATTCCAGTTGCGTCTGCTGCTTCCTTACATGAAGAGTAACCACTCACAGTTTAAGAGAAATTGGCAAGAGCTTCTTACTGTTGTCACCACTGAAGTTAAATACCTAGTTATAATGCCCAAACTTCCTGACCATTCAAGATGGGAGAATTTTACAAAGTTCCTGAATTTCCAAGAACTTTTTTCTTTGCATTTTTTTCACTTTGGTTTGTTAAAAAGTAAAGCTATTTAGTACTTTTGAAAACAGTAGCAGTCCCAAAAACTTCTTATTTATACAATAAATCATAGACTGTGATGGGGTGAATGTTCCTTTTATCTTCCTCTTTCAGAAAAGGCATAAAGTATAACTGCAGGGAGATAAGACCAATATTCATCTAACCTTGGCACAGGGACTGAGTGGACATGAATGACAATTATAACATGAATACTGAACCATCAAAACACACACATTGCTATGAAAACCTCTGTTCTTGCTAAGTTGAAAATATACAAATTTTATGTCCCTATTACTCCCTTCCACCAAAAATCAACACAAACCATTAGTAGGAGCAGATAAAACAACATACAAGACATACTCAAACATGTTTTGGTAATTTAAAAGTTATCAAAATAAAGAAAATAAAAACTAGACTTACTAAACAGGCTGTTTATTATACACTTTATATCAATGTTAATTATGGATGGGTTGTCTATTCATCATTTTTTTTCCTAATAAACATTCTTCATATAATCTTGGTTAATATAACATGAAGTATGGAAATTATAGAGTCAGAGCAAAGCTTCAAATTAAAAAAAAAAAATTAAACTACAAAACTACTTACTCCACTGCTTACTGGTCCAAACTTATGGCCCGAGGAATCTGGTTCTTCTAAATACAGAGTGTAAAAGTGTGGTCTATATCAAACAGTACCAAAAATGTAATATTTTACATATATGTTGAGACAGTTTGAAGAGATTATATTTAAACAATGGAGATAATATATTGGAAAGAACGCTGTCATTCAGAGGAAAAACACATTAAAGGGAAATAGAGAAATGCAATTTCATGGAAAAAGCTTTCAGTTATAGAAACGGGCATTAAATAATATTTTAACATTATTAGAATCATGGATAAGATATTCCACTCTAACAGGAACTTACACTTGCCATTGTATACCTACCTTTCATCTTCAGGTAACTGCAGCCAGCGAAGGACAGTTACCACTCTTTCTTCAAAAGGGATTGAGCTGTATCAGAATAATACAATATCAACCAACCATGTATTTCCAAGAGCTAAAAACTTTTAGCCATACATTACAAAAAGTCAGTGTATTTTAGCAGAAAAAAAAGTGAATTCATTAAGGGCTATTTAGCAGGATGCAAATTTGTCTATGCTAATTGCCTGTGACTCTACAGGAGTTTATGGCCTGATCTAAAGCTCAACTGAATATAGTCCCCATTGATTGCAATACAATTAGAGTAAAGCTCTCAGTACTGCTTGTGTTTATTATACAAAGTGGATAATTGGCTTCAAGGTGCAAAGTCACATGCAGGTTTTCATTCCTGTATTATGTTATGAAAAAGCTTTGGTTTAAGAGTGGGGTTAGAGGTTTTTTTATGTTTAAACAGGTTGAATACAAGTTCTCATACTATGTCACAAAGTAGATCCTCTACATCAATTACTAAAGCAGACCAAAAATAAGCACCTTTTAACAATGTGAGGCATCCATAAAATTAGTATTCAGCTACATAACACAAATTCAAGTAACAATGTAGCAGTTCCTAGTGAAAAAATGTAGGTAACAAGACAAGAACCAAAATTTCCATCCTATATGAAGGATGTAGGAAGAGAAAATGGCCCTAGGAAGATAGAAATAAAAAGTCTGATTTCTTGGGCAAGATTTGAGATTATTAAATAACTGGTGATAAACCATTTCATTAAGCAGAAAATGTTCAACTGTACTGAAGAGCAATCACTGACTAACATATGACTGCCTTAATGTGCAATATTTTCAAAAATTGCAATTAAAATAATTTTAAATTGGAATAGTTTATCACAGTCAATAGTAAAACTTCAGTGTTCATGGACAGTCACATCAAGACCTGATCCATTCACTGTATGAAGAGTTTGGATTGAAATACTCTACACACTCAAAAAAGGTTTTTATAAATACCTTTAAAACATTTGCTGAGGAATGAAAAGATTATTAGACAAAGACTCTGCATTATACTGAAACAAAGTTAATTGGATTCTAGCTTTTTTTTTCCATGTTGCACACAACTGTTTAGAAAGCAGGAAAAAAAAATTATGCTTTCTCTGGCATCTGTCCTATTATAATAGTTAAAATCAAATATTCACCCGAGACACAGGCATACATACCTATTGTATTTTTCATATAGACTTGGAAACGTTCCATTAACTGCTACGTCTGACCCAGGCCAAAAGAATGTACCCGCTTTCAGACCCTGGTACACAGCCGTCAGCCAGATCTGCAGCAGAACATTTGCTGTCATTAGTGCAGGTCACTCACTGAATTAGCTGAGTAGTTGACAGACCCCACTGCCACCCTCACTAACTCTGCACCCTTTAGCAAGACCAAAAACTAAAACTTTAAGTAGAACACTCCAGTCAATCTTGCAGGTCACCACTATCTGCAGCCCAGATACACTTTCTGGCCTGATTCCTTATTCCAGGCACTCACATCCCTTCTGCTGCTACACCAGGGGGAGCCAGGGCAGGAATAGGAACCATTAGTAGAATGCAATGGTAGACCCATGGCTGAACACCAGGAAGGTGTTCTTGTGTCTCAAGAACAGTGACACAAGAAGGGGTAGGAATATTCCAAGGACCTACATCCCACATACTCTTGACATATGGAAGCAACACTGTGGTCAGTTCTTCTGGTTTTACTGCTGATCACATGATTTGCAGATTTATGCCTTCCGCGTATTTTCTGCCTGACTCACATCGCTCTCTTCTCAGTAGCCTGCAAAGTCTACAACAGTGTGTTCTTTCCTCAAGAATCAAAAAAAAAAAAAAAAACCCAAACCCAAAACCCACAAACAACCTAGTCTTCCCCGCATTAGTAAATAGCTGCATCTGGTCCCTTGCTATTCTTCAGGCTAGCGCTCATCCAAACTTTTCCATGTCACTTCATTTTGATGGCAGTCTCAGCAGTTTTGCATAGGTGTATGATTGAACCGAGACAATTTCTTTTAAAACCACATCTTTAGACTTAGCAGTAATTTATTCAGAGCATAAACCTTTAGTAATGATTCTTAATACTAAAACTAACTGGTCTGTCAATTTTCTCAGAGAAGCTAAGTGCAAGCCCACTCATATTAAAAACAGAACAAGATCTGGTATGTCTATTAGTTACTTTAAGCCTTCATTCTCCTTTGGGAAAATTCCATTTAAGTTCAACAAAATCTGTTACATTTTGTTTCATTTGTTATTTTGCAGCTCTAGTATGGCAATCCTAATCATGTTGAGTAACACTTCTTGGCTGACTTAGAAGTACCCTCTGTACTCTTTCAACATCACTATGCATTCAAGTGATATTAAGTAACATAGCAGGCTGATGTACATTCTCAGAAGAGTATTAATACTTACAGGCTGCCCTTGGTACCACTGTGGATTAAACTTCTCCTTACTTTTAAGGGTGAAGGATGCATTTCTTTTGGGGTCATACATCTTGTTATCAATTATACCATGAGATTCAGGATACAGCCCCTGTAATTGAGAGTATACCTTGTTGCAATGTTATAAAGAAAAAGAACATTCTGGCTGCACAAACATGTCTTTTAGACAAGAATATCCATGGAATACTCTATATGTGACTTTTACTCCACCAGTACCTCAAGACCCAAATTTTACAGCATCATGTGCCATGGCTTCCAAGCCCTACCTTCCAATTCTTAATTGTTTCTCAGTGAGACAAAAACAAAAATAGGCCAGCAATTTCTTCTGGGATCAAATTGAAAGATATGAGTTCACACATTTGTTGTATTTTTAGTACCAAAGACAAAGCAACTACCTATGCTAGACCTCCATTGCATGAGCAAAAGCTCTAGCTGGGATATCTGTTGCAGGGAAGGAAGTGCTCAGGGGCATCAGTTCTTGGGCAGCACAAGGAAACCTTGTGCTCTGCCTTTAAGCAGACTAGCTCCTTTTTACATTTATAAAGGATAAAACATCACCACCATTAGGACCCTGCTACTTTTCACAAGAATAGGAAGTTGAGACAAAGCTCTGTACTGTACACCTCACATGGCTGCAGGGCATGCTTAATGCCTCTTAGTTGCATACTCAGTCATGGAGATTTTCAAGGATTGCACAATTAAGCATCTCATTCCTGAACCTGTTCTCCTCACTTAGCAAGTGTCCTGACAAACTAGAGAGATAAGACAGGAGGTGCAGATCCTAGTATTTGATTGAATTTTAGTTCTGGCATGACAAAATCAATAAGGAGCTCCTCGATTCCAACCCTGTGTTTGGTGTTAAAAACCTCCATTTTAGTTTTTCTTTCCATATACAGGAGGTGATCAATTTGCAAGATCAGTTCTGTTAGATTTCTATGCAGTCTTGGGTACAGCCCATCACAGACAGAGTCAACAGCAGTATGATGCTCAGATCTCTCATTTCATACTCTACTTCGCATCATGCTACCTTAAAGAAGTGGAATAAGGCTGGCAATATAAAGGAGTCAGGCTGCTCCCACTCCAAGAGACTGAGCTGCAATTTAGTGGAAATATTTACACAAATAAGGAGTTATAAAGTCATGTGATGTTCCACTGTAAGGGAATTCTCACAGCTACCCTTGGAAGGATTGGATTTACTTACATTAGATCTGGCCACTTAGCTGTAGTGTTATATGACTTAATCTAAATTACATAAAGAATATAATATATACACTTTCCTATTCTGAAGGGAAATACTATTATTTTAATAATCCATCAAAAATATACTACTCCCTTGGAGACAACTTGATAGTGAACCACCTATTCAGTGTGGAAACATATAATATACAGGAATTCTTACTGTGACAATGGAGTAATGGTTGGGAAAGGTTTTGGAAGGGTACACTGGTCTCATACTGGAAGTGTATGTTCCACATTTCTCTAGCGGAAGGAAGAAAGAAAGTCAGCAACATTACAGAAATAAAAATCTTGCAAGTTTCTCTCATGAAGATATAGTCCTATTAAAAAAAAAAAAAAAAAACCAAAACACATGTTTCCAGAAAGTTTTTGTTCTTCAAAATTGTGGGCTTAATTTTTCTTCCCACCTTCATTTACAAGCTGACTAAATAGCTATTAACACGAATTTTATATATTCCTAATCACTGACTGCAATGGTCACATGAGCAAAACCTACAGTCTTTGTGAAAAGCATGCATAGATAAGAATGAATAATCAAAGAAATCAAACCCTTCCATGTTGCCCTGGTATGCAGTAAGTTCAGTCTGCAGCTTGAGACCAACTTCACCCTGGATGCTCCCAGAGATTAAGTGGCCACTGGCACAGTGGTGCCCTAGCTCTCTCAGTCATCTGTCAAATCACAGCTTACAAAATTATTTTGTAGTCTCATTTTTTGTTTGCAGGGCTTTTAAAATATAAAAATAAGCTCGTATTTTAGAATGAAATTCAATTCTTTCTTTATCTTGATATAAAACCATATGGTTTAAAAGTGTGTACTGTATTTGTCAGTATGAGGAGTCATAAGCCAGGCCAAAGCAATTGAGAAAACCTTATTTAAGGGCCTAAATTTCCACTGGCAAACGTATGGGCCCCAGTTTTCAGAAAGAAAAGAAAAAGCCTTCATTAATGACTTAAAAAACGCTATGTGATAACCCAAACTGCTTCAACAGAAGCTAAAGAACCAAAAGTAATGAGCCTATAGAAAGAACACCACTGGACCATCATCTTCACTATGACTATAGGTAATTATATATAATATAAATAAAATAGAAATTAAAGGCTTAATAACATAAAATGTGTTGCATCAAGGCACTTTGAACTCATTGAATTGAGGCTTTGATTACTTTTCAGTTGAAATAATCAATTTGAGCAAATCAAGAGAGAAAGAAGCCAGAAAAATAAATGTTCTCAAGTCCCATAGACATCCTCTCCCACATTTGCATTCTGTATAACAAATCATCACTTGTATCTTTTTTATTACTGCAACACACTTAACACATTTCAACCATTTCCAAGTCTGTTCTTGAGGTTGTTTTCCAAAACTGTAGTTTTTTGGTGGAGGTGGGTGGAGAGGTTGATTTTTTTTTTTGTCTTTTTTAAAAGTAAAAGAAAAATACACTTAGAAAATTTTTGCCAAAAATCCTAGGGGTTTTTTGATGGGATTTTCCATCTTTTTGGTTTGTTGCCTTAGTTAAAGACAATTTAATACAAAAGGATGATTTATCTTAAACTTGCAATATCATACCATAGAAGCATGTGAAAATGTCTTCTCTAAACACCATATGACACAGTAAGGCTATGCCTGGGTTCACACCTTAGTGACACCAGTTTTCATTCATGAAACTATTTTTCTTGTACCAAAGAATATCTGCCTTATCTGAGTATTTCACCCATCACTTGACGATGAGGGGGAAAAGGAGAAAGCTGAAAATACTGTAGTATACTCTGTTGTAAAAGTCTTCTGGCACATGGCCAAAAAATGCTACAGAGTAATTTAGAAATGTTAACATAATGCAGAAATATTTCCTCCCAGATTATTCCTAATTTTGTTGTGTCTAAAACATGTATTACTAGACATTCTGATATTAGAGTCCTTTAAAAATCATCACAAACTCTATAGTTCTGGAGAAGTGAAGTGACTTTGATGAAGATAGTAAGATATTTGTATTTCTTAGTGGTCAGAATTGATCATAGATTCAGTACAAAGAAAAATACAAGATTATTATAGAAGTCAATGAGAGAAGTCACACTGTAGCCTATCCAGACCAAAGAATGAAGAAACTTTACACACAGAAGTGGATATCACAGACTAGAAGTCCCACAGATGCTTTGTGGCACTGCTATCTTTTATCTCGGGCAGAGCTATAATAATTTGTAATAACCAGCTTCTCCTAGCACTGCCCAAGAAGACTTCTCCAGTTTAATTTTTTTATAACTGCATCTAATGAAAACTTTTCAAATGCCTTATTTTATGCTAACAGGGAACGAAATAAGGAAAAAAAAAAACATCCTCAAATACATCTGTGAATTGTTATCCTCTGGAACATATCAAGTGGTGACAACCACTGTATAAAAAAGCAAGTATTTTTACTCACTTATTTTTAGTCAAACTGAAACCAGGCACCCCAGGTAGTAATTTATGAAGTCAAGAAAATTGGCATATTTTTCAGACAAGAAATACCATCAGTTCTTTACAGACCACAGCCAAAACAGAAACAGGAAAAGTAACTAAAGTTACTTAGGCCTACATAACTAAGACACTACAAAAGTTAGGGAATAAACATGCACTGGTGAGGTCCTCATTTCTTATGGAAATGTTTGTTAAATGAAGTTTTCCTTGGATTCTTCGCATTTCTACTAGCCCTTCTATATCATCTGCTCTTAATCTCTTTTTTCTCTGTCTTCTTTTTCAAACATAATCAAATGCTTTCTACCTTGCTTTCCATTTTCCAAGCCATTCCACCTAAATATGAGATTATATACATAATAGAGTAAAAAGGGTCTATTTCTATTTTGAAGAAATAAAGTAAGCTCACAGCAAAAAACATCCACCTCCGAAATATAACAGGGCTACCTAATAATTTAGAAGATTTCACCAAAAATCCAAAGGGCCCTTTCCTCATGCCCTCTCTCTTTCTGCCCTTACACTCTCCCACACCTCAAGTCCTCTGTGTGTGGTTGTTATTTAGGACAACTACTTCCATATTCATGGAAGAAAAGTGAGGATTTTAAAGAGTAAGCATAGCTGCATCTATGGATTTTTCAGGTAAGACATCATAATATTTCTTAGACAAATAAACTACTCACGTAATTTGCTAATAACAGGGAGAAGTCCACCCCAAGTCTGCAAATATTCTGCTCTGAAGCCATCCAATGAAAATAATAACACTGGAGACTTGGTAAATCTGAACAAACAGAAATTAAATATTAAAAGACAGACTCTGAGAAATAATTTCCTATCACTTATTTCAAGAAAGTTTCCCCCAAATAGTTGGAATGTTCATTATGGGGCTATAAACGAGGCCAAGGAAGTAAGTTGTCCTAAGCAGGAAGGTTTGCAGGCTGGCACAGTGGTGACCAGACAAGCTGTCTGGTCTCTCTGCTTGCAGGCTGGCATAGGAGTCCTACCCAAAGACATTGAGGAATGCAGTAGGGTATGTATAGAGAAGTCATGACAAGGTTTGATTTCAAACACACCCATAACATGAGATGCTCAGGTAATCCATCTGGTGGGTTTGATACTCCTTATCTTGGAATCAGTCCCATTGGAGCAATGCTCAGCCCCTTCAACCCCACTTTCCCACCCCAAGGTAAGAGCAGGGAAAGAAATAAGGCAGTGGGAAGCCTTATTTTAAAATAAAATTTCCTTTATTCACTTTACTCCTGAACAACTTGTAATCCAGCTGAAAAAAAAAGAGGAGATATATATATATATAACACAAAACTGTAAGCAAGTCTAATGTACAGGGTATTTAAAATCAGTAATTATAAACACACATTTTTCCTTTCATCTTATAAAGATTATTCAACCAAGAAGAATTTGCTTACTGTACCAGAAGTACTACCCATCTCCAAACTCAACGTGGCCCTGTGACTGGAAACACTGTAACAGTATTTCTGTCTGGAACTTGACAGATAAATTCAGAAACTGATTTCACTGGAACAAGCTAAAATAAAATCTGCCTTTCCAGTCTCCACAGGACCTATGTTTTCCAGTCTTAACTTGTTCCCAGCTTCAGCCCTGTTCAAACAATTTCTCTCCAACTGTAAGTACTTAAAACATTGCCTCACAGACAGGAATAGTCATCAGTAACTTCTTCCTTGAAGAAAACATACCCTAGGTTTGACCTATAGATATGAGGACACGAGGCAAAAAAAAAAAACAAACCAAAAACGAAAAAAACCCACAGCAGTGCAACAATAACTACTGAAAATATAGATTCCCATAAAAGAAGTTAATATATTTTACATGTCAATTGCATGTTTCCTTTTTATGTTTGCAAATGGTAAAATGAATATTTTAACTTTGTTGCACTTTAGTTTCCCAAAATAAAACAGTGATGATAGAAGACAAATATTATTTATAAAGTCTTAACAATTTCTTTTGTGTGGTACTCCAGAAAAAATCCAAACAGTCATTTACAAGGGAAACATCTATAAGCCTTATGTCCATTAAACAAATGTGACTATATTAAGCTAAAGATTAGTCAGGCAACCAAAACATGTCTATCTTAAGAAAATTTTAATCGACAATTTTTAATCAACAGTTCAGCCAAAAGGATTTCGTTACTCAGAACCATTACATAGCCTGCCCTACACTCCAGACAGAACAAAACATTTAGTTGCATTTGTAAGATGCATGTTTGTATCCTGGTTTTTAATTTATATGGCACATTTAGCATCATCTTCTGAAAATCTAGTAGGGGCAACTAGTTGGGAACAAGAAATGAATGATTTTCAGACCAAGACTAAAGCCCTTTGGCAGAACAGAGTAGGTAAACATTATGTATTTATGTATTACATTTACCCAATATTACAAGTATTTTTTGCACAAAAGTTTCTGATGTCTGCACCTTCTGCAAACACCTTCTCCATGCCCCCTCTTGCCCAATAAATTGATTCACTCAAATGCAGAGGTCTAAAAATCTCCACTACAAAGTTCCCTGAAATAGAAGATGAACTTTGAGGCAAAGATTGTTCAATATTACTTACCAACAAGTCTAACTTAAAAAAAAAAAAAAAGCCCAAACAGAAAACCCCACCAAATTTAAAACAACTCCTTAGAAAGGGACTTTACGCAACTGTTTCTGGTTTGGCATTTACAAGTAAACCAACTGTTAAATACATGTTTTGGTTGTCTGCAAATCTAGCTACTGACCCCTTCGCACATGTAAAATTAAATCTGGCAAAATAGACCATTGCCACAACGAGGTGGTTGGCCATTTCACTTCTTGTATACTCTACACATGCCAAAACTCATATAGTTAGTGACCTCCCTGGTGCTCAGGGAAGCAAGTGTGACATACCATGATAAACTGCACTCTTTGGAACAGCTCCAGTAAAATGCCCAGACAAACTGACATGAACTCAATTCCAAGGTATATCAGCAATCTCCATGACTTTTTCCTGTCAGTAGCCAAGACTGCACTTGCTACTTCAGAAATGCACTGCCATGAGCAAGCAGATCTGGGAGGCTCAAGTTTTGGTCCTGCCAGTGATTCATTCTGGCTATGTCCAAATGGTATGACAAGCATGTTTAACAGCTCCTGGATAAATAGGTACACCACAGTCACATCCTGACTCCAAACTGAAGGAAATGCAGTAGCAATTATCCCCTCCTATAAACCTGCTTCTATGGAAACACAATGCAGGCAACACAGGCTTACTGTGGTCTAGTAAGCTGGATGATCAAGAGATCAGAACCACGGAACACTTTGCCAAGCTGACCTACCTCATTGCAGGCAGGTTAGGCCATAATTAAAAGAAAGAAAGAAAAAAAGAAAACAGAAAAATAAAGGAAAGAAAGTCCCCTTGAAAATCTTAACATACTACACAGAAAACTTCCTATCCCACACACATACTCATACATTACAGCCTATATACAGCCATAAAGTATAGAAAGAAAAGCTTTCTTTTTCACTAAATGTAGACAAAGCCTCAGCAGGAGGCACAATAGCATCTTAAAATATAAAGAGAGATCAACAAAGAGGAAAGGAATCAGCTGTTCTTCCAGCTCAGTGAAGACAGAACAAACAGTAATAAGCTTAAAGTACAGCAAAAGACACAAGGACAAAAAGACAGGAAAAAGTTATCAGTAAAGCCACCTACCTAAGCATTAGGGTAAACTTCTTAAATAGGTTTGAATTCTCAGAGTATTATTTTACTCCTAGAACAGTGGGAAGGACTAGATCACTCCTGAGATCTCACAGCTCATTAATTTTATAACCCTATTTAATAATATAGAACCTACTCTTGGAAAGACTTAGGTGTGTACTTAATTTTAAGCAGTTGACAAATCTCATTGAAGTCAGTGGGACTTCTCAGATTAAGCACCTCATTGAACGCTGCATCATGTTTTGTCTATTCTGCACTACAAGAACAAACCCAGCTAAAATGAAAGCAGAATAAAACCAGCCATTTGAACCCACAAAACATGCTGTATTAATATGCACAGAATTGGAACTGATATCCTGAGGTCTCAAAATGAGTACTGCACTAAAGTCACCTGCCTTCCTGCCAACCGCACCATAGGAAGAAGTGGATTGTTTACAGAGCTGTTAGTTTTGGGAGAGGTTTGTGTGCTAATAGTTCGAGATGAGCCTTCAGTCAACACTTTGACCACACATCACCCTTTCCTGGGCTGGGTCTTATTGCAACATTTTGGGTTTGCCAGGATTAAAACAATTTTAGTAGAGTAACTATGTAACTCTTTCATACACTGAACAGAAGAAAAAAAAAACAAGTTAACCAACAGGAGCTGCTCTATTACATTTGCGTCATTAACTTTGACTGTGGATCTGTAGAAGGCTCTTGCTTGTTTACCAACCTTTCAGGGGCAAGACTTCCTAACCTTGTATTAGGGAAATCAGCATCCTAGAGTCAGTTCCCAGCATGCAGTCCCAAATGGTTCCTGAGCTCAGAACAAGAGTTAATGACAAAAGCTTCAAGAATCACCTGGTTATCACCTTTCTACATAAGGGGTTGCTGGGGACTTGGACTACAAGCTGGACAGAAGCTCCATTTTCTGTCCTGGTGGAGATTGTGAAGTGTTAGCATTTGTTTACTGCTCTGAATCAGAATGAAGAGTACTCAACTGGTATAAAATATTTCAAAAGGAAATGTACTTTGACAGTATTATAACTCCAGTGAATAAATACAGTATTATTCAAATACCTTAAATCAAAAAAGTAGTGATATAACAAAATAAGATGTTTTTACTTCACTAGAAATATCCCCAGCACAGCATAATTTCAAAATGAAAATAGGTCTGATTTTTTGATACTTGTCAGTCAAGAACACAATTTAATTCAACTTTCCCACAACATATCTACCAGCTATTTACCAGTAGAGCACATTTCAAGCAAGAACATTTAAGTCACTTCTATAAATAGCTTAGACATACAACCATAGTATGTAGTTAACTTTAGCTATTGAGTTAATTTAAAGATCCTACAGCAAAAACAGTACAAGAAATACAGGGGTTTTTTTCCTGCCTGGGAGTTTTGCTGTATTATTTGAGCCTGAGTGCTGATGCCATAAACCACAAGTCATTCCTCACACAGTTTATACATAAATTGCAGGAGCAGGCCCACTGTGGAGCTAAGCCAGAGAATACAAGGATCCCATGGCATTTTACACCTTTTAAAGAAAGTAGTTCAGACAGCTTGCAAGTAATGCTGTCCCACTGCTGGTGAAACTGGTACAGCAACCTGTGCACATTTTGCAGCTCCAAGGCTGTAAAATGCAAGCTAGTGAAGAGGTCTTTTGAAGTGATCAGGGAGGGAGGCAGTCTTAGGAGCCTGAGATTGCTAGATGGGTCCCAAAATATTTGGGATAGTGGGTACTGGAGCACATGTAGGTCAACGATAAGGTTGGCAGCACAGCAAAGTTGCCCAGACCACACATATGTGTGAGAGACAGGAGCGTTGAGGAATAGCCATGTCTTACAAGTCAAGCAAGTGCTGGGATACACGAGTGTTGCTGGAATAGAGCAATTTGATCTGTTAGTAAGCACACCAAATGCTGGCTGAACAGGTGTCCTTCTGTCTGGCAGCTGCTCTTACTGTATGTATGAAAGGCAAGTAGATCCCAGCAAGGCACAGCAGTGAAAATAATCACAAAAATGAAATGCAAGCAAAGAGCAGAGCTATGCAAATATACAATTTCCTCACCCTTTTGGACACTGAGGTTCAGTAATGTCCTCACACTCTTCTTCAACCCAGCTTGCCTCTCCTTAAAACAAATGAGTGCAATTTATTTTTTAAGACAGTACATTCTTACTGATAAATGTAAGATTTTTTTCGTTTTACTGGGTGCTTTTAAAGTCCTTACTCCTTTCATACAACTACGGGTACATATGAAAGATACAGGAATTTGTTGGGAATATTTACCTTTACAAACAGCTTGATAATTGACACAGCAATCTTTGTTTTCCACACAGTCATCTGAACAGGAACAATGATATTCTGGTCGCCTCTTTTCTCCACACCTGAATTTATTACAGGTCCATATGTGGGCTAAAAAATAGATGAGAGAGAAGGACAGTACAATGACTTACACAATGTTGTAAGTGCAGAACTAATAAACCAAGTGTAAAGTTAGGTCTCAAATGTCTACTCACTGAAAAACAGCCTTGAGTTCTCATTCATGCATAGTGTTGCAAACTTTGGCACTTTGGAAAATAGAAACACCCTGTCTGAGTTCAAGAAGCATTTGGACAATGCTTTCAGGCACATAGCGTGATTCTTGGAGTGTCCTGTGCAAGGCCAGGAGTTGGACTCGATGATCCTGAAGGGTCCCTTCCAATTCAGCATATTTTATGATACTATGATTTTGTTATCAGTTGTAAACACAAGTAGATCCTTTACGTTCAGTGAGGGTAAGCATGAATGAATTTACCAGTTGAGTGAATATTTACGTGAAGCTCTTAACAGAGACATGGAAGCCAAATCTAAATGTTTGAACAGAGGACACTCAATGTTTTTTCATACATTTTCATACATGACTAGCAATTAGAAATCCCTAAAAGCACTGTCAGATGTTAATCTCACTTTCAGGATACTGAACTTAAGTAACTCCACTAATATCAATAGATCTTTACTTCTTTGAGAGAGGGAGAAGAATCTATTATGGTTCTAGTTACATGATACTACTGGGAAATAAGAATTTGATTCTCCACTGATGTTAAGGTTAATTTAAAAAAAAAAAAAAAACAACATAAACCAATTCATTCCCATTCTTAGAGCTAAGACAGACTCTCCAGTTTGTTTTTAAAGAATTTTTTTAACGGACGGAAAATGATGTAATTAGATAGCAGAGTAAACTCTATGCAACTATATATACATACAAATATATATACATATATCTCAACTATATATGCAACTTTATATATATAAACAAAAAGCTTTAGGCAAATGAGATGACCTTTCAATAGCAGTCAGTTGAAGCAGGGATTTGTGCCTAGTTTAATCATTTGGTTTTCAAAGTATACATTGGAATTCTAAATTTATCACTGTTGTCTCACCCAGAAATTAATGAAATACACGTAAAGAGGAGCAAGAAGAAAAATAGTTACCTGAAAAGAATGTTGCATTTGAAGCATCAAGGCAAAATCAAAGTAGAGAAAACAGTCAAGTTTTGCCCTTAGTGTTCTACCTGCACTAACAACTTCCCCTGTAAAATTTCTCTGAGATATTTTTCAAACCTTTGCCTATCTGACCTTTTCTTTCTGGCAAATCATGACAACTGCTACTCATTTTGCAATCCTTCTCCACTAGTGCAATCTGTTTTGTCATTCTGCCTTGATTCTTGCTCATGACCCTTGCTTCACACTCAAGCTGGGAAGTAACACGGCAAAGGGCCTGAATAGCTGGGTAAGGAGAGATGGCAGCTTTTACAGAGCTGCTCTGTCCTTTCCCTTTTTCACGCAGGCAATGACAGAAAAATACAATATGCGGAATGCACTTCTATTCTGGGCTCGCCTGAGAATGTAGGAGTTGTCCCTGATGTCAGGGACAATGCAGGTCACTGTTCTCTTACCACCAGACAAAGAACAAAAAGCTGGCTGAGATCTCGAGTTGCAGTTATTCCTCCTCTTTCCAAGGGGGAAGGCAGCAGCATAGTCTGTGGTAGCCTCTCTCCTCACAGGAGAGCTATGGGAAAGCCATTATAGTGGCTATGTCAGTTCCTATGTAGTCCAGCTGGCTGAAATACAAGCTTTGTTTCTGTAAAACAGCAGCTGTACAAAGCCCTGATGTTTCCACAGGAGTCCCCAGTAACCCCATCACCACTGTAACTCCACTCAGGAATGCAATGGAAGGAGCACAAAGAGAAGGAGATCACTGGCATCAAAACCACTCTGCTGTTCAGTAGCCCCTCCTTTGCATTCACAGTCCATCTGAAAGAAATCCTGACCATAGCAGTATTCACATATGCTGAGCTGTCTCTTGTCACAGAACAGGAGAGATTGCTCCCACAATCATGATATGGACTACCTTTTCATCCTTACCTGGTTGTATACATGTTTCCTGGTAATCTAAGCAGCAGTTTCCAAGCTTGACACAATCTTTATCACAACGGCAGCTTCCAAAGGTCCTTTCAAAGCAACGACCTTTGCAGGTTTTCACTGTAATATTGGATAATGTTAGATGTCAGCGGTTGAGCCCAAATCAGCCAACATGCAAAAGAAATTAATACGGTCAGTTTGTGAGATGACACAGTTGGTCATTCCAAACTTACAGGATGGCTGCAAAAACAGTGACAGCCAAAGGAAAGTCTTGACCCAACTGAATATTTTCTCTTACTGAACAAAAATGTTTTTCATCATATTGAACAAAGGGGTTTGTTCTGTTTTAGCAAGAACATGGTGTTTCATTACTGGCAGAAACAAGTGAAACAAAAGACTACAATTCCCATTGTGACTGTCCTTGCCTTTCTGTCTCACCGGAATATTTGGCTACAGTCATTCAGAATATGGAAGATCTGTTGAAGGACGTTTTCACTGTGGGTGCCCTAGGCAACGAAATGCTTCCGCAGAGAACACTAATCTTCCTTTTCATGTCTGACAGTTATAAATAATCAAACATTAATTAGAATCTAAACTGAATTGCCTATGCTTGCAACTCTCCCATGCCCATGCCCTGGGGAGGAGGAACTGAAGAAGCCTCACTTCTGCATCCCACTGTACCATGAAGGTGCTATCTCAAGACACAAAAAGGGCTGTTTCAAAGCAGATGCAAGAGATACAAACTTGAGTTGTATTGCTCACCAGTTTATTTTTTCTCCCGTTTTAATGTGAAAAAAAGACATAGCATTCTTCCACTAGACTAGAGTTGCTAGGGGTAGGGGAATTAAAAAAAGAAAAAAAAAAAAACAGACCAAAAACTTGTCATGTGAAGCATTAACAAAACTTAAGCAGTTGGTCAGTCTGTCTAATCCTGTGCAATCACCAGAAAGGAGTGAGGTAAATTCTTCATCATCTGGCTCCTCAAGAATCTTAAGGTGTGTGATATTAGGAAAAGGAGATACTAATCAGCCAATGCTACAGAGTTGTAGTAAAATGAGAAAAATACTATATATATTCTAGTGGAAAATTAATAATCTGAATTTTAGTTAAAAATCATTGTTCAACAGATCAACTTTGAAATTATTCTTGATAGTTGTTCACAAAGCGAAGCTTGATTTCTTAATTAAATAAAAAAAAAAATCTTTCGTAACCTTCTACCTGAAGAAACTTCACCATCAAAAAAACTCACATATTTTTCAGGACAGAAAATAGACAGAGGAATTCCACAAGGAATGTTTTCAAGCTACAATTCTAACCAGTAAAAAAAATAACTTTTTTTTCCCCCCCATAATTGTCTGGAAAAGATGAAAAACAAATGTTCCAGGACAACATGAAATACAAGTTGTTGGTTGGGGGTTTTTTTATGGTGAACTGAGAAAAGCCAGCCATGTGACGCCACCACAGTGACAGCTGGGATACGTGGAAGCTGCCAGATCAGACACCGAGTACCAGGATCAGTTTACTGCTCAAGTGAGTACACACAAGTGTTGAGTACACCTGAGGTTTATTTTCTGATATTTTCAGTACCCTCTAACTGATACTGCTTCAAGCAATGCATCCAATCCTCTTCTGCAGCAAGAAAGGGTGGCATTCTGGTAATACAAAAATTAATTTACAAAAAGAAAAAAAAAGCAAATATTAGTAAATAAAAGGCTTATTAGTTACCATCTTTTGAACAGCTAGGCTTCAGGCCAAATATACATCCTAGGATTGTTGTTAACATGCAGACACAGAGTACCTGTGGGACAGGAAGGAAAAGAAAGTAATCTTAAATTACCACTGAATGGTTTTGAAATCCCTCATTTTCTCTATAATGTTAGACAATTGTACACAAATTTATAAATGCAGATTAGGAGGCTGATTTCACTGTTTTCACCAGCAGTTTTCACTCCCACAAGTATTTGTTATTTGCCCTTAATTACTAGTGCGTGAACGTGAATATTGTCACAACTGGGCCTATGTATATAATTTCTTATCAAACCATTTAACACAGATATGATGATATAGTTCTTTCTCATTTCTTTCTTGATTTCTTTTATATTATGCTTTCATGTTGATATATTTCTTTCTATATTTCTTACACATATACCCATATTGAAAACTTTTCTTGCTCCACTCTTTCCTTTCTCCTTGTTTGTTTCTAACAAGGTAAAGCAAAGTTTTGCCATTAACCATAGATTACAAACAGAAGGCATGGTCCTTAAGTGACATCTATAAGAAAGGGAAACCTTTTCCCACTTCCCAGTATCCGGTTCATACTAGATGTGGGTCCACACCATGGTAAGCAACTGTGGCATGTCACATTAAGGCTGACCACAGTGTCTTGCACTGTCCACAAAATATGGCTGTGTTTATTTTGTATTCTGGATTCATTAAAGTTATCAAACAAGCACCATATTATCCTTGTCCAGCATTTCAGGGCAAGATTTAACACGTACTCAAATACAAAGATTTCTTTTAACCTCATTAAGTATTGTATTTGGTCCATAAACTCTTTAGAAAAAGTGTATTTACTATCAGTGCATATATAGTAATTAAAGAGAAGTCAACAATGCAGTAATGAGGGCTATTGCATTCAAGTGCAGAATGCATTAAGGTAGCTTGCCCGAAGTCATGAAACAGAAGGCACTATAATAATGCAGACTTTCTCATACAAAAGTATTTGCGGAGCTTTGGGTAGGGGAGAATGTACATGTCACTTCCTCCAGTCACTTTTTTCTGTGGAAAAATTGCTTTGAAGCAATACTTCAATAACTTTACTTGCATGTCTACATGAAGTCTCTCCCTTTTTTCCTTCTTTCCCACCAGTAAAAGCTGCTGAGTCAAGTCTCTTGAGTAGGATGCCTGAATCATGTTGTGATGTGGCAAAAATTAATTCCATTTTAAAATGCACTTAATTATTTATCAAGCTTAATTTTCTCAAAGACTGTGAGCACTTCAGTACCTAAAAACTATTTGTGTTGTTTTTAACAACTATACAGTTCACTGTGCAATTTTGTCCACTAAGAAGTTAATAAAGACAGTAAGAAAGCATGGAATATGCAGCATTGAAATTCAGATATTATTCTGGATTTCTGAACTACAAATTATCATTAAACAAATTATCAATATAAACAATATTACACATATAGCATTCATTAAAAAAAATGGAATGACAGACTGGACCTGATGAAGCTTTGGCCTAGGATTCTGAACCAGGCAAGTTTGGAACCTTATTCAACACCATGTATATCAGAGAAACAAACACTTTGAGTTCAAATCTGTCTTTGAACTGACAGGGAAAGAAGGAAAATCATGAAAGAATAAGGTGGAAAAAATCTAGCATTATCAGTGCAGCCGGATATGCAAAAACTTACAGAAAGATGCAAGTCTCCATTAACTCAGCTGTCAAGAACAAACACAACTGCAGAGTTCTGTACTTGTCTTTTTTTTTTTTTTTTAAATCAGCATACTAACACATGTGGTATCAATGACATTTTCTGTTAAGTCAATATCAACAACATTATCTTTAATGTAAATTGTTCTGGACCTTTGAAGTCTTCCGTACAAAACATCACCTAGATAAGAGCAGGTGCACAGGCAGGTATGTAACATGTCGAATGCAAGTTGTCAAAGCCCACCAAAATCAGAGTAGAGAGCAAAGCCTGTTATTGTCCTTTTAACTTCTATTACATATTATTACTGTTGTTGTTGTTATTCGGAAATTACAAATTGATTAATTTGTTTTTAAAAAGCCAAGTTGAGCACATTTTATTTCAGGGTAATGATATATTGCTTCTCTGCTCCCACCAGGACCTGGTACTATAATCAAGGGGTAGAATGTCCTCTGATGTGTAAGCACAGACGTGCTTTAAAACAAAAAAACCCCACAGCTACTCTGTCTGCAACAGCTTTATTCTCATATCTTCAAATAGCTGCATGACCTATGGGACTTAAGCACCTAAGGCATCCTTGAATGGTAAACACATTGCAGTGCCATTAAATGGACAATTAATATTCCGTTATGGAATTTCAGTGTAGTTAATGCAGGAATTGATTCATGATACCAAGTTAATGCAAAAATAAAATCTAAATAAAACCCATTCCAAAGTGATAGCATTAATACTTCTCAACATATAACTGGTAAAACCTCACAAAATTTCTCGCAAACAATTTCCGAGATTTTGGCATCAAATGTTACAAAATCAGTTTTGTGTTGTATTCCAGATTTTCAGTTTTACACTTCTATGAACATAATTCTAATAGGCCAAAACAAAAGGATTATGTTCACTGAGGCACATGAGTGCTGTTTTGGGTAGGAAATACTACAAAATGCAATACTAAATGCAATAATAAATGAAGATTTTGAAACTCTATTGACTCACTACATTAAAACCTTTGTTTTCTTAACATTAGTCCCAATAGCTTAAACTTTAGTCCTAAAGATATCTTACTGCAAAATACTAAAGCTTCCCCTTCTTTTTTCTTTCTTTCTTCAACGCTTAATGAGGAAGTTTTACGCAAATGGGAAGCTTAGAGGCAAAGCATTTGACAATGTTCTAGGACAGCCAACTCTAATCCAGTGGACTATACCATGCAATTGCAGCTTAGTGTTTAAGGCCTTGAATTGAAGCTTTATCTTGAGCCTGAATGACTTCGGTCACATGGATATTATCCACACAAATGACAAATGTTCTGCTGGAACAATGAGGAGCAGCTAACACTGGTCAACAGCAGCAGTAGTCCTAACTAGGTGCAGTAAGAGGCACCAGTAGTTGACCTACTGTCAGCTCTGCAGATGATGAGGAATATTCAAAACAATTGTAAAGGTTGCCTAGATACAGAAAAACATCTCAATGCTGCAGCCCAAACTAATTTACTTTACTTCTTTCTGTGTTGCAACATATCTCTGTTGCCTAGAGAATTGTGGATGTCCCATCCCTGGAAGTGCTCTAGGCCAAGTTGGACAGGGCTTTGAGCAAACTGGTCTAGTGGAAGGAGTCCCTGTCCACAGCAGAGGAGTTGGAACTAGATGATCTTTGAGGTCCCTTCAAACTCAAATCATTCTATGATTCTATATGGGACCTCACTGCAGAAGGTAGGTTACCAATATTACCTGAACTATTTTACATACAGGTAACTCAGGTTTGGGATGCTGCAGTCTGCTGCATAAAGATCACATATTTTTTCAAAACACAGAAAGAGAACTAGCTGCATGCGTTCTTGTTTACCAGAACTTTGTTTAGCATTCTGCTGCAAGCACCAAATTCAAATCTCTAGCTACTACCACATTGTCATCCTAACACCTGCCTTGAAGGTTTAATCTGTCTTTTTTAAACAAAAGGAGAAAATCTTACCTGTTCTTTCTCTCTCATCCATATTCTTCCACTCAAAAGAGAAAGCAAGAAAAAGGTGCAATTAAGAAGGAATATGGGAATCCAACATTAAGTAGGAAGGCAAATAAAATTAAAGAATCTGGCATTGCAATACACAAAAGTAGAAAATGAACATTTTATGATCTGTGTCTTGAGAGATTGCTAGGACAAAATGTCATATCCAGTTTTAATATAGTATCTGAGAAAAGGTTTTAAAACAACACAGTAACAACTGCAGAGAAGAACGTGTCCTTTTTTGTTTTAAAAATAATTTTTAGAAAGTTTGTTTTGGAATCACAACAACATTGTCATCTAGGGATAAATCTCTGTCCCATCACTGCTTCCTTTATGTGGGAGGAAGCAATAAAAGCTTTCCTTTGTAAACATTATAGTGGTTGGGAATAGGTGGTTGAGCATCTGGAAAACTGCAATCCTGAAAACATTTTAAAAGTCTTTTATTTTGAGCTGGGTAGATGGAAATATGATAACATGGTTAGAGAGGAGAATCATTTCCATCACTCGTCTCTAGAACTGCAGCTGAATAGAATTTCTCAGCAGTGATTTCAGAGGGCAAGTGGAAGGGCCAACAAGCACGCAGGCTGCATACACCACATCAACTGTACAGGTCTTAGTGACCTACCAAGAAACCTCTCACCAGCCTTAGCTACCCTTTCCTTTGATACTGTATTTTACTCTTCTTTACACAGTTAATACTACTGTCCCTTTCTCTTTGCTCTTCCTTAGCTGAGTCCATCTCCCCCACTCCCTTCTTCTATTCTGTATTTTCTCTGGCAAAGAATACATTGATACTTCTTTTAAGGAATATTCATTCTGAATTAAGTTTCTTTCTATGTTGATTTTTCTCACTCTGCCTGCCATGTACTCAGTTGCTTCCCATCTCCCTTTCTTCATCCTTGGTATTCCATGGCCAACAAAACTTGTCACTCCAAGATTTAAGACACATCCATTAAAAACTATACAATTATCAAAGAAACAATGCAAAGTAATGGTTTTCCAGTCTAATCTTCATGGTTGGCTCTCACAGTTGTGTCACATCTATCCATGAAAGGAGGATGTCTAGACTGGACCTGTAATGCCAGTAATTACAAAAACCCATGGAATTTTCCAAAACCACAGGGGGATCAGTGAAAGGTATACTATGTTTTCACTGTTTTGTGCCCCTAGAATAGATGACTAATGACCTGGACCTTAAAACTGAAATATCTTTGAGAAAGAATTTCAGCTTCAAAAGTGTAAAGAATGCAGTAACAAGTAATGAATTTCAAGCAAAAAAGGGTCATCTTCTGTCTCTAAAAGAACACTGTTAAAAATGCAGAAAGCATACTGTATAAAGAAAAAAAACCCCTTATCTACACTTGCCAGGGACAGTGGAACACTGGCTTGTAAAAATGATATTTAAACAAGCTCGGTTTCATTCAAAAGCTGCAGATACTTAATGAAGTTCACCAAACCGAAAGAAGGTGAATACTTTACTCAACCAGCACTACTACATACTTAAGTAAATCACCTAAAAAAAAGTTACCAGCACTGAACCAAGTGGACCACCTCCTCACCTCCTTCTTGCACCACGCATATTTCTTTCCACATTTGTAAATATTTTTATGATCTTCAAAGACTTGTTTCTGTTTATCCACATTCCACACCTAGAGGCCTGCAGGAGGAGAACCACTGAGACTCTGAGGTCCTGGCTGTCCTAAAACACTAAAAGTGACTAAACTATCCTGAAGTCAGTGGATAAAAAAGCTGGAGCTTACACCCAAAACCTTTTCAGAGCTAAAAAGGTTTATTCTAAAAATATATAGCCATTATTGTTTTCCCTCTCAAAGCAGAACACAGAAGGTCTACTCTCATTCTTTCTACTTAATGTTTTCAAGACTATTATTATATATTACTGCAACCTAAGGTCATTCAAAGGACAAGAGTGTTTTAAAGGTAGATCAAGCCACTGTAAGATATTATAAAAAGCCTTCACCGAGCTTACCAAAGAGTGACAACTCTTCATTCAGCAGAGAATTATCAGCAGAAGACATCACATACTATAGTTCTCTAAATACCTTCCAACACTATTCAAGCATCTGGTTTGGGGCGGGATGGGGGAAGGGGAAGATACAAAAAGGTAGGACAGAGTTAGCATCTGTCAGCTGGAATCTAAAATATTTTTTTTACTTGGTGCTTGCTCAACTGTATGGGTACATATTCTCCTGAAAGTCATTAGCACATGAGCTGCTATCAAAGCACACACATTTTACCGTACCTGTTATGTTTTTCAGTGCACTTTACATCATGGGAGAATTTAGAAAGAAACTAAAGTGCAACTGCATGCTAGCCAAAAACAAGGGAAAATACAACTTCGAACTGAATTCCCAGAAACCAGAGAGCAGCTGACTCTGCTATTTAATCACCAGGCAGATTTTTGTAAAAACGCTAAGGATAAACAGGACTGAAAACTGATCTTACGAGAAAAAAGTAAATATTGCACTTTCAAATATGATTCGTTTATTCAGCACAGCAGAATAACACAGATCAAAGACCACCACGTGTCATCCAGATGTGATATGAACTGCGTATTGGCAACCAGATATGAATGCATGGTTGCATAGAAAGAGAAAAAACTGCCAGTAATTATGCCAACTAAAAACTGTTTTCCAAACAAACTGCACTTGATCCGTGAATAAAAGCAAAACTGAATATGAAAATATGGCCTTGAGCCATCTTCATGCCCTTCCTATTCCAAAAATCCCTTTTTAAGAATAAAGTTAAAGCTGCTTCAGTTTAGAGTACTGTCATGAGAGTTGTAACAAGAACAGTGTAAAAAGGGAGTTGCTTCTACTGGGTATGGATAATAATACCAAATATACCAAGTAAACCTATATTCAACTCCATTTTTCCAAGGCATATGCTGTTGTTACTGTTATAATGACAGCAACATTAACCTCCACATGAAGACACAGCGGCCTCAAAGAGCAAGCAAAGAAATTCTGTAAAACACTGTAAGAATATAAGGAGTGTCAAAAAATTGCACAACCACAAAGCAGTATGGGAAGAAGTTGAGACAAATTAGGTTTAATAGAATCATTTGGGTTGGAAAAAACCTTTAAGATCATCAAGTTTGACTGTTTCAGTTATTCACGATAGGTTTTTACTAAGCACACTGATATCAATCACAAACACATCTTCAGCCTTGAGTCCTTTGGCAATTTTCCCAAAATGAAGAGCAGGGCTGACAAAGAAGCCATTATTTACCTCTGCACCCTTTGAATACAGCCTCTCAAAAAACAAAAATTTTGATGCTTCACAACACAGAAACATATTTGAGCCAGAAGAGGATTCAAGAACTGGCCCACTTACCAGAGATAAACAGAACAATGAAACATGCATGGTCACGCTTGATTATTGACTTTTGTTGAAGCAGCTTATAACAACATTATAGTTTTTGTTATTCTATGAACAACAAACAAACAATCTTTAACACAAACTTGTACCCCAATACTACCACATATTAGAAAGAATTTATATACATAGATTTGCCTATATGCCATTGAACAGCAGAACTGGATCAAGGTTCATGCTCACCTGAGTTTCTTCAGAAATGCAAATATTTCATTATTTTTCTTAATAATTTCTAATACTGTCTCCAACATGAAAAACTCCTTATACCTTTCATGTTTTCAAAGCCTTTATTTTGCTCTGCTCCTTCTTTCAGCTGGAAGCAACAGAAACATAGCTTCCACAGCGAGTTGACTCAGAACAATTCACTCTGTGTAATTCTACTTATATTAGTGGAAGGATGCAAAGGAAAATTTTTGAAGAGCAGGAATTGAAAGAAAGCTTTGCATAATTCTTCTATCTTTGGTCTTGCTTGAAAACTAAGTTTTAGCACAGTAACTAAGTTGTTCTGAGTTTAAGTTAATAATTAAACCTAGAGAAATCCCATCCACTTGAATTAACATGTTCCTTATTATTTTAGTATCCAAGAGCCTTGTAGAAGTACATGGAAGTGTGTTCAGAACAAGAGCACACTCCCTTCTCCCAGAATTTTGGCTGCGTGTGCTTGGGGCCAGTTCTCCAATACTGGTTGAGCAATTGATAGAACTGTTTGGGAAATCCCAACCAGCCTTGAAGACAGTTCAACAAAAAGCTAGAGGAAGCCTCAGAAGAGTCATTCACCCTTGTTTTAGCCTGTTGCGCCTCTGTCCCTGTCTGAACTCTGTTACAGCCACACAGCAGTCAAGTCCATCCAGGCCAAGCATTCTATTGACCGTAATTCACAGGCCTTCCTTTCTTTACTTTGACCTATCTCATCACTATATACTCATCTGGCAATTTAGACTATTGGCTGAACCTGGTTAGCATCCTCAAACTTGCTGTGCTCACCTTGCTCACATACAGTGAGACTGCCCCTTTACAATGAGGCCACAACGTGTCTGCCTTGTTGTCACTACTGGATACAGTTTTTCCTTCTCTTCCAGTGTGACCTGCCCTCAATCTGATGCCTGACAGGTAGACGAAGATTATTACTGCAAAATTAAAGAATGGTAACAGAAACCCTAAGGCGTGAATTGAGTAAGAGCTCTGAATGTTGGAGCAGGAAGTCTGAGCATGACACCAATCACGACCCCAGTCACTCACTTGTTTTGCCTGAATGGACCAAAGGGCTGATCCTAGCACACTACAGGCTGACCTATCAGCAGGTATTCCACATTAAATTCCTAGGTACAACGTGGTTGTTTTCAGGCAGGCAAGCAGCCAACAGCATTGATAGAAGAACCAGTCACCCATCTGGGTGTACTTCAGCCTGTTGCAAGTTTTACACTCCAGCTGGAGTCCAGGCAGCCAAAGGCATTCACACACACACTGTACTCCAAGAGGAGGTTTACCTAACCTTCACACTGTTTAGTCTATGCAGAAAGCCATACCTAAACTTAAAGTGAGCTGAGGTGTGCTTAGCCAATTCACAATCACCCCTTTGACTGTGCACCCAAATTCAACATAGTTCGGCAATAAAATTTAAACTGAGTTCTGAGTAAAGGCATAAACAAAGGTGGTCTCTACTCTCCTTTGTGAAGATTTTTATAGAAGTGGAATTAGGGGAAGATGTGGGGGTTTTGTTGTTAGAATCACAGAATTGATTGGGCTGGAAAAGACCTCCGAGATCATCGAGTCCAACCCTTGGTCCAAATCCAGTCCATTTACTACATCATGGCACTCAGTGCCACATCCAATCTGCGTTTAAAAATCTCCAGGGATGGTGAATCCACCACCTCTCTGGGCAGCCCATTCCAATGCCTGATTACTCTCTCTGTAAAGAATTTTCTCCTGATATCCAACTTAAATTTCCCCTGGCGGAGCTTAAGCCCGTGCCCCCTTGTCCTATTGCTGAGTGCCTGAGAGAAGAGACCAACCCCCACCTGGCTAGAACTTCCCTTCAGGTAGTTATAGACGGCGATGAGGTCACCTCTGAGCCTCCTCTTCTCCAGGCTAAACAACCCCAGCTCCCTCAGCCTCTCCCCATAGGACTTATGCTCCAGTCCCTTCACCAGCCTTGTTGCTCTTCTCTGGACCCGCTCCAGCACCTCAATATCCTTTCTGAACTGAGGGGCCCAGAACTGAACACAATACTCAAGGTGTGGCCTCACCAACGCAGAGTACAGGGGAAGGATCACTTCCCTGGTCCTGCTGGCCACGCTATTTTTGATACAGGACAAGATCCCATTGGCCTTCTTGGCCACACTGTTGGCTCATGTTGAGCTTCCTGTCAATTAGTACCCCCAGGTCAATTAGTACCCCCAGGTTCAGTTGGGGTTGGTTTTTGTTTGGTTGGTTGGGTCTGCTGTTGTTTTAGTTTGGGGGTTTTTTTCTATACTTAAAAAAAAAAAAAAACAATCAGAAAGGCTCAGTTTTTGCAAGTGTTTCTTTGGACAAGATTTTTTACTTCATATCAGCTTCTATCATCTAGGATATGATACACCAAGTAGCTCTGTGAAGTAAATATAAATAAAGCAAGAACACAAATTAACCCTGGAACTCCTTCAGAGTTAAATGTCTAAATATTTCTTTATTTTTTACTGTCCAAGCAAGCAGCAGAGCAAGGTTATGATTTTTGTCTTCACTACCCAGAATGAAGGTACCCACTTGAAGAACAATAAAGAAATCGTGGGTTTACAGTTACCTTTGTATAATGAGAATTATTTACAAAGTCTTCCTTGAAAAATTCATTGACTGAAGAGAAACATTAAAAGTTACAATGATTTTAAAATTCGCCAAACCCCAAACTTTCTTGGTTTAAATTGAATAACAATATCTTTTTGTTTTATAGTTACAACTGCATTCTAATTAATGCATTTAAGCAATATTAGTAGCAAGTGCAATAAAAAAGGTTTTGTTAAATGTCAGTTTTTACTGTGTCTTCAGACTTAAAACCAAGTCACCACTGGAGCCAGAGAGCTGTAACATTGACAGAAGACAGCTGTAAGATACTCTTGTTTCCAAACATTGGAATACTTTCCTACAAAATTTTAAAATATTGGAGATTGGCCAAGAACTGTCTTAATATTTCTAAACTGAAAGCGCCTCAAAGTCTATTTAAAATATGGCCATCCTGTCACTGTCATTTTTTACTTCATATTTCACCAAAGGATG